GACAACGAATGTGATATGTTTTTACTCTTCTTATTTTATTGTGCAAGGCAAACTCGTAATTTTAAGAACCAGATGTTTCTTACATCAAAATACAAGTCAGCTTCAATAGAAAAAATATTACTCCAGAGTAAATTTTACTGCAAATTAAAGTCAAGTATTTCAAAGCATGGAGTGCATTCGGTTGTAACCAGCCGAGAACCCAAAACCACGTTTCCATTGAATTTCTTTTTAATGGCTGTCCTTAACTACTCTGTTGTTCTTGCGTCGGAACTATTCTGTTGATTATTAAGGACGCCTTTTGAAGAGAAGCCTTTTGCATTCTTGTTGTATATCTCTTTTAAAGAAAGCATAAGCTATAGGGTTTATTCCAGAGTTAATAACTTGTAGAGGTATTTTGTAATGAAAATCGTTACATGATTGACCAGTTAAAAATAATAAAGTACAACGCATCATTATTCCGTAACATGATAGAAACACACACGTTATCAAAGCCACCCATTTTACCGCTGACGCCTTGTTTTGAGTTTTAGCTCTAGCGACCACATGATTAAACGGCAATTTCTTCGCTAAAGTGCGATCTCTAGAGTAAATGACAAAAAACATGGATGCAAGAAAAAAGATTAGAATTACGCACAAGATTATCTCGAAAAGCAAATACAAGTAGCCGAGTATAGTCCTGGCAAGATCGTTTCCACTAAGTCTAATCGACACTAAAGTAAGAGTGAACTGAAGAGAAGGAATTCCCCAAGATGTTAGAACCATTTGAATCACTCGACGGCGCGTCATAAAAGTCAAGTATTTCAAAGGTTTCACAACAGCAACATAACGTTCTAGTACCAAACTAAACAAATTTGTTCCAGAGATGCAAAGAATGAATATCCTTACATGTGTCACAATTAATCCCTCTTTTGAGCGTAGAGTGCATTCGGTTGCAAGGCTGCAGAAAAAGCGTGAAGGAACAGCAAGTATCCCGACACCAAAATCAGCCACTGCTAAAGACACGATGAATGTGTTGGTTTTGGTGCGAAGCTGACGTTTACTGCAGACGAGGAAGATGACAAATCCATTTACAACCATCGTGAGAATACTGAGGAACCAGCCGAGAACCCAAAACCACGTTTCCATTGAATTTCTTCTAAATGGCTGTTTAGGACTTTTCAATTTGTTTCTTCGGTCAAGCCAAGAGTGTTTTGAAAGGTTTTAAGGATGAAAAATGTAATTGTGTTTATATAGAGTTTTTAATCAACCATCTGGCCCCATCCAACCTACGTACAAGTTAATATGGCAATATATACTGTTTAATTAAGTCATATTCAAGGCTGCAAACATCCATCACTCAACAACGTTCTTGTCAGACGCTTCGTGCGCGGAGTTCGACGTCTGTTTATTAGTTTTCAAAAGAAGGAACCAATTGCAATCAGAAATTGATAACAAACGCGGAACTTCTTTTTACTTCATCTTCTAATGTGTTTTAATTAAAATAAAATTTACGGCAGTCCTTTTTTTAGACTATCAGTACAGCATAATAGTGCAAATAAGATGCGAATTAACGAAACTTAGCCAACAACAAATATTTCAAATAACAATAATTTCAAAATTATCGATCGGTCAGTGTTAAGCGTAAATCGCCCCCTTTTATTATCAAGTAAAAGACGTTTTCAACGAATAAAGAGGCCTCGAAGCACTGTTCTGTTGTAAAGCATTTCGGAAGCGGCGTTGTATGTATTTTTACTCGCCAGACGGGCTCGTCAAAATACGGCACAACTCGCAAAAATACTCAGCGATACTACACACCAAAAAAGTCTAATAAGATGTATTTATCTACAGCTTTCTCTGCGTCAGTTGCAACCAAATAACTCGTTTTCATACTCGTTTTAAAGGTCATCGTGTGCAAGACTTGTGGGTTACGTGAGTCACTTTTCTTTAGAAAATTGTTTGCTAAACACACAAGCAGAAATTAAAAGCATTTCACAAAGACTTATCGAGAATACGTAATGTTATAAAATTTCCTGAAGGCGTTTGCCTTTGACAATCTCTCTTGACATACGACCGATGGATTACATGACTTGAATACTTGTCAAGTATTTAATTTTAAGTCGCACGAAGATCTTCCTTAACGAGCATCTCTAAGATGAGTTCTCATGTAGTAAAAAAGTGTTGGAAATGTTATATCATTGTTACCTACGCTACCAAATGTGAAAAAATTTCCCGAATGAAAACGGGGAAATTATAAGTATATATATCAATGAATCTTATATCGGTATTGACTATTTAAGGTGATGATCAGTTCCCCCCTAAATTAAACACAGCTCATGAGGAAGTTGCACTTATGCAAATCGACTGTCGTTGACGAAAAGTCAGGCAATTCAGGAATTTTTTTTCCAGCATTTATCGTTTCAAAGTTATCATGTAATTCAACAACAAGAGCTTAATACTCTAAAACATTGAAGAGAACATACATTGAAAAACACAGCAAAATTGAGGAGAAAATGATATTTTTTTACTCTATGTCTTTAAAATATACAACGCAAGCTCATAGTTATAAGAACCACGTGTTTCTAGGACTAAAATACATGCCAGCCCAAATGATTAATTTGAGAAAAACATTTTCTCCAGTAAATTACGGCCTCAAAATAAACAATATGTGGTCTTAAATATTTTAGACATATGTCATATCAACACTACTTCTCTTAAACAGGTGACTTATCTTTGTTTCATCGGAAGTTTTTTAACCAAGCAGCTGTTTAGATAAGAATCAACATGTCCGAATAGATTCTGAACCGGAAGTCCTCAGGATTAAGGAAAGTTTTAAGTATATGCATCAGCTAATGTTTTTCTTGCGTCCGAACTACTCTGTTTTTAAATAACGATGCCTTTTGAAGAGAAGCCTTCCGCATTCTTGCTTTATATCTCTTTTGAAGAAAGCATAAACTTTACGGTATAGGCCGGAGTTAATAACTTGTTGAGTTATTTTGCAATAAAAATCGTAACTACATTTATGATCAGCTAAAAAAATAATAAACTACAACGCAAGAATATTCCGTAACACAATAGAAACACACACGTTACCAAAACCACCCATTTTACAGCTGATTTGTTCTGAGTTTGAACTTTAAGGATCTGATGATAAAAATTAAATTGCCTGGCTACAGAGCGATCCCTAGAGTTCAGATTGAACTAGAAATATGGATGTAAGAAAAAAGATTAGCATTAGGCACAAGATTATCGCGAAGAGCAAACACAAATAGCCGACGATGGTCATCGCATGCTCGAGTGCATTGAGTCTAACAGACATTATAATAAAGTTCGGATATGACGCGCGCTGTCATTGGTTGAAAGAGCGTGCTCTATGAGAGTATAGAGCATAGAACTGAGCTAAAGCTATCACGCCATTTGTACTATGTTCGACCTTTTCCGGGACTTCTTTTTAGCTTTTTCCCAATAAGTGAAAGAGAAATTTCGGAACTGAAGCGAGCCGGCAAGTAGCTACAGAAGAATCAAACAAAGGTTTGTGAACATACCAGGCGCCGTAATTTACGTTATTAAAACGTGGGCAGATACGAAAATCCTCAAAGGAAAAACAAAATAAACATTCCGAGTTTTAAAGATTTTCACGCTCAGTTAAATTGCAAGCTTACGTACGGTAATAAAAATCAAACACAGCTAACACTCGTATAGTATATAAAGTTCAGTGTTCAAAAACAAAACAGAACAAAACAGAAATGATGAAAAAATAACCAAACTGGCGTAAATGTTAAATTCATACAAATCATAACGGTGTCTGAGCGAATATGATCATGCTAAGTTCATCGCGGCTCGCTCATCATGGCGATCTCCGGTCATCACAGTAAAGCAAGCCTCAGAAACTACATCGGCCGCCCTTCGAGTGAAAAAATAAGAGCTTGCTCTGATATCCTTTCCAATACGTTTGATTGGCAATTCACATTAGTCACTGCAGCCGAGTTTTGCGGCGCTGTCATCACGAGCGATCTTCATGTTCCGGTGAATTCGGCTGTCTTTCATCCAAAAAACACTCGCTTTGAACAGCTTGTTTTCTACCTTGTCATGTGGAAAAAACTCGCGTGTTTTTATAAGCCATAATTCGGCTGAATTTCACTGAACATTTCACTTCGAGATTCTGTATTAGAGACTTAAAAACTTTAGGCAAAAGTGTTAAATTCGACTTGCCGAACTATTTTAGTTAGTAAACTATCGTAGAGTGTGAACTTTGATGGTTTTTGAACTTTGATGGTTTGACACTTTTGACAGCTTTAGTCTTGTACAGCCAAACAGATTAATTGAACCATTCTAACAGGGATTCTGATCGGCTTATTGTAGCGTGCTTTATGAGAGTATAGAGCATGCTGACGACATTGTTGTTCGCTTTGGAAATAAAGTTTGTTTTGAAAATTGAAAGTAATGCTTGGGTAATTTAACGGATTCTTTACTATAAAACAAATAGAGAAGCCTTGACTGTGCTCTGTTCTGTTATAAAGCACTTAGGAAGCGGCTAGAGCACTCAAGAAGTGGGAAGAAACACTCGACTACGTCTCGTGTTTCTCCCTACACTTCTTTCGTGCTCTAGCCACTTCCCGCGTGCTTTATAACAGAACAGAGCACAGTCAAGGCTTCTCTATTTGTTAAATAAGGAAAAGTAAAAGTGAAAAGAAAAGGAATCCCCTAAGATGTAAAAACCATTTGAATGACTGGGCGGCGCTTCATAAAAGTCAAGTATTTCAAAGGTTTCACCGCGGCAATGCGTTTATTTACAACTATCGTGAGGATGGAGAGGAACCAGCCGAAGATCCAAAATCACAATTTCATTGAATTTCTTGTTTAAGAAAATTTTAAGCAAAATCGTTCTAGGCAAAAATAATTGTTTATATAAGGGTTTTATAAAACCTTCTCGCTCCCATCAGCTCTTAAAATTTACTTAGGACAATAGATAATGTTTAGTTAAGTCGCATTCAAGGCTGCAAACATTTATCATCCTAGAATGTTCTGTCAGACGCCTTCTGCACAGAATTTGACGCCAGTCATTGGTTTCAAAAAAGAATGGACCAATCAGAAATTGAAAACTTGAAGCGAAATATTTTTTACCTCATCATCTGATGTATTTTATTTCTCAAAACTACAGCAGAGTGTAGATAAGATGTGAAATGGTGAAAATTAGCCTCTATTTGGCCGAGAACAACAACGTTAACAAATAAAGAAGCTTTGTTTTGTTGTAAAGCAGCAGCAAGCAGCTGGAGCACAAAACAAATGTAGGGGGAACACGAGACGTAATCGAGTGCTTTCTCTACTTTTTTGGCGCTTAGCATGCTTACAAACCTCTCATTTGCCTTTCCTGTTACTATTTGCCGGGTCGGTGTGTAATCGTCGGTAACTTGATCCGAAATTTCACTCTATCTACGTGTAATAATATGTATGAAAAAACTACGTGCGTCTGATTGGCTGAAAACGAGTCCATTTTTCATGTAATACGAGTGCAAAGTTGTAACACAAATGCAATTTTGTTGTCTCTGAAAAATTTACGTGTGCTTTTTAACATCAAACTGCACTCGAAATCATGTTGTTACCTACACTAAAAATATACACGAAAAATTTACGCGCTTCTGATTGGCTGAAACCGAGTGCAGTGTAACTCGAGTGCAAAGCTGGAACATGAATACAAATTACAAATAGCACGCACGCTGTCAAAATTTCGTTTGCCTTGCCTTTGAGAGATGCCTTTTTCATGTATATTATTTCTAAGTAACAACATGATTTCGAGTGCAATTTCTTGTAAAGGGGGACTTGAAAAATTTTCAAAGACCACAAATTGCACTCGCAATTTACTACGGGCTCGTGAAATATTTGGTCTTCGATAGAATTACTCGATTTTTAACACGAATTTCACTCGAAATCATGTTAGTTCTAATTTGTGCTGTTACCTACAGGTTTTTCCGTGTCATTTAAAGCTAAGAGCTCGTTTCCATATTCGTTTTAAACGTCATGCAAGACGCATGGATCAAGTACGCCACTTTTCAACGACAATTTGTGTGCTAAAAACACGAGCAAAACCTGTCACATTTCTTGTGTGTTGCAAGAGAGCTATGTACTTATACGGAAAAACCACAATCCGCCCGATCGGATCTCTTTATTTTCCCGAATTTTTTTGACAGTCAAAGTTTACTCGAGCGAACGCCTTTCAAGACGATTATCCAAGACCTTAATTTGACGTAACTTTAAGGACAATTCAGAAAAAAACTAAGCTTAAAAGAGATCCCACTGCTGTGTAGATCATGTCTATCTAATCCATCGAGACGACTTTCATCTCTCGCTTCATATCTTTACCTAAGAAATTTTATTTCTCTCTTTCAAAGTCGCTAGTTGTTAGTAGTCCGAGAGTAGTCTGTCTACTATATCTTTGCGAAGTTCAGATAATAGCCCTGCAAATACAGTCCTGCTTTATGTGGTTGTTACGTCTCTCAAAGCACTACATAATAAATAACACAATTCAAAAGAATATATTCGTTTGTGACGTCGAGGTCAAGTGGTAACGAATTCATTCCACATTGTAGAAGTTGTTAAAGTTGATTCTTAGTAGAAAGTCGGCCAAGTGCGATTGATAACCTCTGCGAACAAGTTTACTGACCACTGAAAAAAAAATTAGAAAAATATTAGCGTTGATTTAAATCAAGCGGTTTTTCTGAATAATGGTGTTCTCCTTTAAGGCGATAACCGGTAAAACTTTCCGCCCGTAGTATCTCTTATTGGTGCGTAAAATCGCTTGGAATTCTTGAAGATTCAACAGGTAAAGGATTGCTCTATCAGTTTGAAAATTTATTTTTCCTGTTCTGCTTAAAATAAGGAGAACACCTTTATTCAGAGAGCACAGCACGCCGAATGCACCCTTTTTGTGCAGCAGTAAGAACCCACCGCTGATTCGCAGATGACCAAAAGAAAAAAAAAATTCATCTGTGTGCTTTTCTCTTACGTGTTATGAAACTAACACAGAAACCATCACAACGTCCAATCAGAGACATGGAAGCTATAACAACGAGCCAATGATACTGTATACGAAGAAACACTAACAAAAAAAATCATTTTTCCGAAACATCTCACCTGTGAAGAGAAAGGTAGAGTATTCTTTGAATACTTTATGAGTATTACACATGATGTCATAAGCAGGATGAGTCACGTGCCCTGTACCAGGGTCTTGTTGCCATGGGGACGCCAAAAGCTGCGTGCGCAGTTTGAGTATAAGCGTGCCCAGGTCACTAATGATGGTCATCACAGGCGCTGCCTTTCGACTGAGCAGGGAACGGAAAATGGCTTTTCGGAGGTAGTCCGTGTGTTGGTTGTGCAAGTCGTCCAAGCTTCTTACCTGGATAAAGAAAATCAAGAATTAGTTATATTGAAGTCCACAAAGCAACCAGGCGGAAAATCAGACATAGCTAATGCTACTCTGATTTCACGATTTAATTAATGTAACCGAGAAGTTACAATTCATAGACCCAACGTTTCGACACTTTTGTCTGTTGCCCTCATCAGGGGTGATCTAATCGTTGCAACAAGAGGTCCTTTTATATGCTCACTAATTAGCTGTTCTTTTTTTCTGACGAGGTGTAAATAGGGTCAGGTAGTAAGTCGCCATCGTCACGATTTGAAGGAGCGTGGGCGGAGTTGATATGCCAGGCTTCCCAACAAAGGCGCTGGTGGTAACGTCGATTAGTGGTGCTAATTTTAGACTTATTCCTTCTAATTGTATGGTTGATTAGGCATGTGTGCACCGACAAAGCTGAATTTTCTTTTTGGCAAAAGAAGACCGCTTTTTGCCCTTTCAAACGTTTACCAAACTAACGTTTGGTACACGTTCTAAACTATGCAATCTCTTTCCTGAAAAAAATATAATGAATGGCCGTGAAAAGGCGAACGTTTTACCAATCACAACCCCCATATAATTCAGCTTATTTTATAAAGTGTAATGCAGCTAAATCATCCCCAAGTCACCTACATTTAGAAGACCTTCTTGAAACTCTGACCAGGTAACGTTTAGAATTTGATTTGACAAGTATCCTTCAAGATTATGCACAAAGTGTTGCATTTCGTGCCTGAAAAAAGAAACAACAAAGACGTGATGACAGCATCGTAAAAAAATGTGAAACACTTCAATTTACCAAAACAGCCGACCTCTGGATGCCTAAAACTAACATGGAGAAAGTCATTGGCTTGTGAGCAAGCTAATCGCTTCGGCGCGGGCGTTTCCTTGCCCGCCGGAAAGTAAAAGGCGGGCAAGAGAGAGAGGAAGAGAGGATGTAATTAACGACACACTAATTCAGTCTAAGAGAAATAGCGGTACTTCTTATCGCTTCATGCTATTTGAACCAAGGTAAGGTAGGCAGGATGGGTAACTTGACTAGTGAGCAGACTTCACTTTATTACCCTTTCACGAGGTTCCCAGACAGTCCTGTTATAGTGTGGAAGTGAATTTAACAGCAGTGAGCGAGCCTGTAAAGGACCATCATAGATAGCAGAGCGACTTTGGTGACACGCACAGCTAGATTGCGCGCGCTGTAACGGGTCAAACAAGAGAAACACCAGGACATCACCACTCAAACGAAATATGTATTCCGCTTTCATCACGAACACTACAAAACGGTATAAAATACATTCACTCTGAAGAGCGCACGAAAAAAAGATCTGTTGTTTTCGACAACGTTTTCAGTGGTAAACTTCGTCATAGAAACATGCAACAGAAGGTTGAGAGATGTTCTTATAAATTACCTGAAGAGCTGCAGCTGACGAAGTTGGGGCGAACCGGCTACATTGCGTGAGTAGGCTGTAACACAAGAACATTCGTCGTCAGCAAGAAAATTTAACAATGCCCATTGACCTTTTAAAGTATCATGATCTGAAAACAAATTTTCCGTTGCGTATAATTTAACTTGAACTACAAATAATGAGAGCATGCTCAGGCTAGGTTTTTAGCGGAAACTCCTTCACACAACTTGTGGTTTGATTTTAAAAAATTGCTTTACAAGTGTTTCATTTGCCCGAGCGTCTCTTTGAAAAACAAAAGCTGGCGCTAGCTGTCTGCCACTTAAAATCGAAAATTTACTTTTTTTAAGCTTACCAACGTGCTTCAAATGAAACCAAATATCCCGCAGGACCCACGAAAGACGTTTTAGCCGCAACATAAAAGAGAATACCTGAAAGAAAGTTTAGGGTTTAGTTTGACACCTCTAACAGCACGCACCTATGTTCAAAACAACTCCAAGTTCATTTAGTAAGTATTTTATCATATGACACTCAGACCAAACTTTTTCATTTTGAATTTGCCGGCTTTCGCTACCAAAAATACACGGATTATGGTAGTTTCCGTGGAAACGGTCTGTTCTGTCAGAACAGTCAAATTTAGCTTTGGACTACTTTGCCCTAAGAGAATTTATTTCTTTCAAATAAATCCAAACATGATTTCTTACCTTGTTGTATTTCACGACAGACTTTTCCGTAATGACTATATTGAGGGGCCAATCGACCTGATGAGATGAGATGAGTTGAAATGAAAACAAACGAAGAAAAAAAATGTAGTGGACAACTTGAACAAGATTTACAACAGCAAGGTGATGTTTTGTCTTGGACTACTCACTCTGTACCGCAACTCTAGAAAATCCAGGGTCCCCATTTCTAGTTAAAAAAGATCCGATAAAACATTATTACATAAGAACATAAAAAAATTAAGATTGTAAGTACTGAGCGTATTTCGGTCAAGAGCCTGGAACCAAATTCATAGAAATCTATCAGCCAATCAGGGCAAAAGGAAGTATCACAAGGATTCGGTGAAAAGTTAGAGAAAAAGCACGTCAACTGCCTGGAGCGCGGGAAAAAAGAAGGTGCAAATTCCTGTTGGTTTTGGTTTTGCATTTGATTGGTCGAAGGTGACACGAACTTTTTGGACCAATCACACCTTGTACGGTTGGAGTTCCAGTCTTCCTTGGCCACTCACATGAAACTTGCATTCATTATATTATTTATTTATATGTATTCTGAAATCATTAGATAGGAAACATTATGACGATTTAGGCATTTTTCGAGCAGAGGAAATTTGCTCTAAATCCGAAATCCGAACGAAACTTTACAGCAGTAGTTTTAATAACTCTTTCCATAAGCAGCTGCAGGTGGTGTAACCGAATACTACAGCCTGCACGCACGTTAAAGTGGTCCGCGATCTTACAGCCGGCGGTAAACCGACAGTAACTTGCTTTTATTGAGAACCCTGCTTTAAGTGACAGTTGGCAGGGCTGGACAAAAACTAAAAAGGTTAAACTTAACTCTAAAAGAACAGGAATGGTTAAGAATTGAAAACACTTAAATGGAACGGAATAGACATACCATTCGGTTTAAATATCTCAGGCATGTTTTTAAGAGCAAAAGCGAGGTTCTGCGCATGCTCCGTGGTATCAGAGTAAATGGAGACTTGAAGGGCCTTCCCTACAATGGAGTTCATCACTGTGGCAGAACACATCTCCCGTGGGGACACCCCTGAGGCAAGCTGTTACAAAAAAAAAAAAACATTGCATAATAAATTGCAGCTCTGAGGTTGTCACAGCCTTAGAGATGAGGATTGCATGACCAGCTAAAACGCCAATCATGAAGTATTTGAAGAGGGAAGATTATGAGACCAGGCTTATTTCTTTCCCGAATGGAAAAAGGGGACAAAAAAGTACCTTTTCAAACAGCTGGTTGGAAAGTGAGAGAGAAAATTCACCGTCCTCCATGAACAGCAGCTTCTTGAACAGATCAAAGTGTCTGTTGATGTGCAAGTCTTGGATAAAATACGCCACGATAGCAGAATTTACCAAGGATATCCTTGAAAGTAAGAAAGGAAAATACGTTGTTATACACAGAGCAGGAGAAATGAGATACGACGACAAATCTAACTGATAGATTCCACGTTGTCGAGCGTCAAAGTGTGGTAAGATAAAAAAAAAGTGGCACACAAGGCGCAGCCGAACGTCTCACTGAAGTTCAGGCCAGGTTTTGCTGTCTTCTGTGTTCTATTATTAAACAGACCTAATGCATAACAGAATCCATTCGTTATATATCAAAAAGAAGCAAAATGGTGTAAATGTTAATGGAGTCGCCATCTATGCGTCGGTCCTCCAACAGATCATGAAATGCAATCGAAATGCGCGCGTACTTCAGCTCATTAAATACACTGGGATTTTAAATTTCTTTTCAGAGAATGACAAAGTATCAATCCCAATGAAGATCTTTTCCATGGAAACAGGGTCTTGAAAGTAACAAATAGAAACTAACGAACAACTTACTGGGTTATAAGAGGCGCCATGACAGATCGCTGAAGTAAAACCGGAAGTGACATCAGACGCGCTCCATCCGTGCCATTCTCATCAGCATCTGAGCCTGCAAACAGAACAAAAATATTCCCTGACTTTTATACTTTCAGGTTTAGATTTATGAGTCACTAGAAATTCGAGATACCATTAATAAGGAGGAAGGAGGTTCACGTCTCACCAGCGTAATGGTCAAATAGTGCCGGAACCTATCGCGGTTTCCGAAGCATCAAGCAACTAGGTGTATTGTTACTTCAACACAGCGGTCAAACGTAGGACATGCGCAAGGAGATAAATTCTGGCCGGCCTCAATTTCCCGCGCAAAAGTTCAAAGAAAAAGATAAGAAACAAGTGCTGTCTCGCAAAATAAGCTAAAGAACGTTCATTGAAATCTGCAAAAGGAAACAAAAGTAGGGAAAAGGAAAACACAACACTTTTAGAACACGAGGCCTGTTCATGTACTGATATCCTGTTGATTTATCAATTTTATTTTCAACTTTTACTCTAACAAAAACGTTATACGCTTTTAAGACACCATGACTTACTACCTTGTGTTGTTGTTTGCAGCTTGTATAAGACACCTTGGTTAAAAATTGCGTGTGAATGATTTTCTCATTTCACTGCAATATCTCTTAAGTGAGCAATAAAAAAGATTTGTATGTTTATTTGTTCAGATAGGGAATAGCCACAATCCTAGACATAATTAGTTGGGACACTTATCCAGAACTACTCCCATGGCATTTTTTCACCCCTCTCTCCCTTCCAATGTCGTCAATTGCCAATGTTTCTGTGCCACTTGCAGAACAACATTGAAAGGGAGAGGATAGGCCAAGGATTCCCCAAGGAATGTGCCTGGGAGTGCAGGTATCAAAACGATCTCTCAAGCCAAGAAGAGGCATCTCTTGCTTTGAAATGTCTTAATCTCATAATCCAGATCTTTCTAAATACGACGAAGACAAAATCTGAACAATCCAGTTCGATGCTTAATACTGTACCTTGCGATACTGGAAATGTGCCCATGGCGCCTCGCAGGAGATTTGATAACGGCTTTTGATCTAAAAATTAAAGATTTCAAATTAAAACAGAAATGAACTCACAAGAAGCAACTTTCCTAGACACGAATAAAGGGGGTAAGTTTCTAAAGAAACAATTTTGTTTTATCAACTCTGTTGATAATGTAAATTGGCCACCGTAAAGAGTTTCTTCTCAAGCTGACTTTTCGAGCGTCCATCGTCCTTTCGCTCTGACAAAGGGCTAACGCTCGAAACGTCGGCTTTAGAACCTCTCTTACGGTGGCCAATTAACACAATAACCAAATATTTTGTTAACCCCCCCTTCCCTCCCCCCAACGACACGGCACCACAGTTTCTTTTGAAACTTTCCCTTCTGAAATCTCGTCGCTGGACCTACCCAACACATCAAAGTTGTCCTGAAGAGGCTCCACCTGAGAAGCTAGCCAAACATCCTCAAACTCCAACTGCCTTGATTGTGGCTGTAAGGTTTCCCCTACCAAAACAAAGTTGATGTAGGCTCAGAAAAAAGGCCACATTTTTTCCCTTCACATCTCCCACACTTGGATATATGCGAATTTCGCGCGCCGGCAACGACGATTTCAACATTTGCCTTCAAAACCTTCCAAAGTTCACGAAACAAGTACGGAATGTTTCTGGTTGACTAAAATGAAATCATTAGAGAACACACACAAAGCGACAGAAACGGTAAGCAGTATCAAATTGTACCATGAAATGGTCAAATTCTTAATTAAACCTAAAAAATAATCAGTAACGCAGAAGGACTTTGACTAAAGCTCGCGATAATTGATAAAGATTGTGGGAGTAACAAGCTGGTTGTAAGAAAGTATTCATGCAAGAGGGTAGTCATGTAAGGGGAAACATTGTTTAGATCAGATTTCAGATTTTCACCAGTGTACCTACACACATGTAAATGACACAATTCGGGATCGTTCGCTAAGAAATAAGAAAATGTCAAAGAGAGGGGTGAGAAAATTCCACTCTAACAGCTTTGATAGAAATACATCTCACATTTTCCCTTACAAAGCTGAGATATTCCTCAAAGACGAAACAAAAAATTGGTCACAAGATCGTTTCTGACTCACCTTCTTTCTCTTTAACGTAATACAAAATATTCTTTATCTTCCCAACAGGCTCCTGGCCACGCGTCGACAACCTCGTTCCCTCTCCTACTGCCCCCTCCCCACTTGGATACAATATGTCCTGAATAACACTTTGGGGAGGGGCTCCACGAGTGTGCACCGGTCTATTTGATTGTTCTGACTCTCCCTCTCTTGGGTACAAGATATCCTGAGCAGGTGTTGATTGTCCATCAGGTTTAGGATAGAGAATATCTTGAACCACGCTCGAGGGAGGGGTACCACGGGTCGTATTTTGGCTGTCACCCAAAACATCGATGTCTCCTAAAAGCTTCTGAATTGAGGCGTCGGAAGGGTGTTGCCAATTTTGTCTGGAACTGCGCTGGATAACTTGGGCTGTACTGTCCCCGTGAGAAAAAGTCACCTGGGAATCTGAGGGGTGCCCATGTTGGGAGTAAGAATGGGTCTGTGAATTGGGTGTGTCCAGAGTATCGGGGTACAACAACCCGCTTACAGATGAGTCACTGGGGTGTCCATGTTCCGAAGAACGAGCTTCAGAAATGGTTCCTTCCTGGGTACCGCTAGTGTTTAGAAGGTACTGGGCAGTGGAATCGGATGGATGTCCTTGTGCAGACGGCGTTCGAACCTCAGACGCCGCTCCCATTGCGCTGCCGTATAGAACGTCTTGGGCTGAAGAATCTGAGGGATGACTAGAAACAAGGCCACGCACGTTCACAGCTGAAGGCCGGGTTACCATGGTCACAGACTCAGCATCCAGGCCTAATGTCGAGTTTGAGGGAGTATTGGGATACAAAACGTTTTGCAAAGATGAATCACCAACGTGAGGAGTGCTGGTTTTTAAATTGCGATCGTGTAAACCATAATCTGGCGTCTCGCTTTCTTCGTTAGTCTTACGTTTGTCGCTATACATGGCAAACTGTATGGAGGAATCGGAGGGATGGCTCTTGGGAAGAGAAGATGCTATCTTCACCTCACCATCGGGTGGGGCTTCCCAAGTCTTTCTGCCCGAACCTGCTTCAGTCATCTTCCCAAGCTCGGCAACACTCTCGGCAGGGCTGTCCCAAGTCCTTCTGACTCTGTTTTCCGAAGCAGATTCCTCCGAGTGCGATCCAGCCTCCCTATCGAACTGCGTGCTTTCGCCTAAGTTCGTGTGCCCTGCTCTAACCAAGGCATCTGTTTTTACGCCACTGGCTATAAGTGACACAAGGCTTGGACTCGGAGCCGAAATTGGAGTGGAAGCTCTTTCTTCCTTGGAAACAGACTTTTCTTCGAGTCGTTTCTCACGCCGTTCGTCGCTTTCATCCGTTATTTCACCAGAAGTCTGGGTACCAGACGCTTGTGTCATCTGCTCCTGTAAGCTGTCTAACCGAGCCTGCTCCTGCACAAAGAACTGGGCTCTAGCAGGGTCGAGTAACCAACGGCGGATGTGCCATTGGGCACGAAACTCTCGGTACTCCACCTCACGGCTGAGTTCCTCATAGTACTTGATGAGCTCTTCCCTGCGAAAGAAATTTAAAAATTCGAATTTTGTAGGAACTCAGAGAATTCACCTCCACTCTAGTGAGCTCTTAAGGAAACCGACTTCGTGCAATTTGCATCTTGACACCAAAGGAACTAGTTGCAAACACGGAAATCTTATCAACCGCCACGATCATACCAAGGGCGAGAAATAGAGTACGAATGGTGCCACGCGCGGGAAAATCACGTGACTCAAACCAAAACTATGTTTTCTAATAGGCTAAGAAAAAGCGCCTGTAATCCAACTGGCTGTAGCACACTCCACGCACTACAAGAGCTCACAGTGACGACCACTTAGCTCCAAATCGACACGACAGAAACACTACTCCGCGAGGACACTTTGGAAAACAGAAAAGATATGGAGCCCTCAATACCTTGCTTTGTTCTTCATCTCTTCTTCAACTGTTGCAGTAGTGACCTCCTTGTCTTTCGCTGCTTTTAAACGTTTAATGTCCTCCTCCCTCTCCTCTTCTCTCGCCAAGGCCTTATGCTGTTAGAGGCAACAAAATTTTGGAAAGTTACTGCCTGTGCTCCGTTTGGTTTAGTAACCTTAACTTAGTGAGGGTGCAGATTTAGCATAAAAAGTAGTATGAGTAATCGACGGCAGATGAGCCAATAGGCACGAAACTCTGGCCCGCGAGATTCAAGCAGGCAAGCGATGTGAGCGTGCAAGGTCTGCGAGGGGTCTGGCACGAAAGGAATTCAAGAGATGAAGGGGATCTGCACCTTAACAACTAAAGGGATCACCCCACCCACCCCCTTAGTTATGTCTTTCATGGCGCCACACCAATCAGATCAGGGAGAAGTCTGTATTTTCGCGGAAGATTTCCAAAATTTGCTAAAAGCTCTAGAAACTCTTCCCAGGCTATTTGTTCTCCTACACTAGACGTGTTCAGTAAAGGACTTCTTATAATTATCATTACAAGCAAGATTGACTCGATTTCCTGAAGAAAACTTTAAATTTGATCGGAGTCAACAAACCTTAAACGCCTCTTCCATTTGTTCTTTTAACATCTTTAAGTCTTCTCGCTTCTTCTGCTCGACTGCTTCTTTAGCCTTTTGAATAAGCTCTATTGAGAAAAAAGCGTTGATAGCCATCAGCTCCTCTCAAGGGAGGCCGCCTGGAGGATGCCCTTATAAGCTTTGCTGCATGCGCATTTCTCCACCCGCGGGAAGATTAGAGACGAGTCACCGAGAGGTTTACCGAAGGTCTGGCACTAATAAAGATTAATGCCAGACACCTCGCCGAATTCTCGCCAGCCCTCTTTACCCAAAGACTCAGACTTTCTCACGGGCTTAGAAACGCTCGTGTCGCAGTACAGAACAAATCTAGCTTTATAAAAACCAACCTGTTATCTCCGCTAAGGCTTTTGCAGCCCTTTCACGTTCTTCAACAATTTCACGTTCTCTTTCGTCCTCAATGACTTTCCTCTGATAAAATGAGAGAACCATTTCGAAATTAGACTATTATAAATGACTTCATCGCTTACAAAATACTTCTTTACTTTTTTTTGGGGGGGGGGGGAGGGGGTGGGGCAGGGAGAATTAAGGTTCTCCCTCAAAATTTTACTCTGGGAGTTCCTACGACTCCTTCAACCTATGTTTAAGAATCCCAGAAAAAAGTAGAAGGATCCACGCTTAGTATTGTTTGAAATTGGGGGAAAACCATCTAATATTTCGTTCCATGACCTATTGCGCTGCACAGTGTTGTGGTAAGGGATTCCAATACTTCCACGTTTTAAGGTTTTAAAGAAGGCGTCAAAGAACTTAACGAAAATAACAAAAGCTACTTTCATTCTGAAAATAGTTCTTCGCAGATCTACTCCGGTTTGAATTAAATCAGTAGTGAAATAGACTGACACCCAAACCATATGTGAACAAAAACGTGTTCTTTGTGCCGTTTTACATTTTTTTGTATTTTCAGCCAATAAGTGCGTCCTTGACGCGCACTTGCACCAAATCCAGGTGCCAAAAAAAAACTATGACCATTTCTACTGTTTACCTCATTTTCTCGTTGCTCTTGAAGTTGCCGATGCATTCTTTGTATCTCACTCATGTAGTGTTGGCATTCCGCCTCTATTCTACTAAGTCGTTGCATTGAAAATGTCACCCCCATTTTAGGAAGGGGAATTCCTGGATCACATAAATAGTGCTGAAAAAAAAAAAAAAAAAAAAAGGAAAAAAACGACATACCATTAATGACATGAAAAAACATCTTATCAAAAAAAAGTATCTCAAATATCCTTAACCGCGTCCCGACGTTTAACCCATTGGACCCCACTAGCGACGTACATTTAAATTCTCCTTACAATATAACGCCTCAATATCACATAAAGGTCACGAGAATAAAGGCAATGATCACCAACTAGAGAATCTCTCGATTGTTACACAAATTCTCCTTGTCAGCATCTTAGGAAATGTTTGGAGAACAGTATGAAGAATATACATCTTAGGAATACGTTGTAAAATGAAGAACTTAAGACGACACTCACCCCTGGGCAGCAAAGTTTTAACAAATTAATTGTTTTTCCACAAACAAAAATGTCATCTGCAAGTTCACCCAGAAACAGAGGCACGCAGTCAAGTTTGTCACGACCGACCATTATAAATCCTTGCGTCCAAAAGTGTTTATCTGAGGAAATAAAGTGAATGAAATAACTTGAGTTTGAAAACCGGAAGTGAATCAAGAATCCCAAGATTTTGCATTGTCGAGGAAAATTAATGACGCGCGGAGAGAATCCATACATCAAGAAAAGAACGAGCACATGCAAGAAAGGAATGAAGGCACGAAGGCACGAAGGCACGAAGTTACAAAAAAACGAAGGAACCAGGGAACGAAGGAACGAAGGAACGAAGGAACGAAGGAACGAAGGAACGAAGGAACGAAGGAACGAAGGAACGAAGGAACGAAGGAAGGAAGGAACGAAGGAAGGAAGGAAGGAAGGAAGGAAGGAACGAAGGAACGAAGGAACGAAGGAACGAAGGAACGAAGGAACGAAGGAACGAAGGAACGAAGGAACGAAGGAACGAAGGAACGAAGGAACGAAGGAACGAAGGAACGAAGGAACGAAGGAACGAAGGAACGAAGGAACGAAGGAACGAAGGAACGAAGGAACGAAGGAACGAAGGAACGAAGGAACGAAGGAACGAAGGAACGAAGGAACGAAGGAACGAAGGAACGAAAGAACGAAGGAGCGTAGGAACGAAGGAACGAAGGAACGGAGGAACGAAGGGAACGAAGGAACGAAGGAGCGAAGGAGCGAAGGAGCGAAGAAAGATCTACCTTGAACAGAATAAAATACTCTCACCTCTGTAGGCTAAGTATTGTTCATCCATTTCAATCATGAACTCGCCAAACATATCATTGCAAATCCCCTTAAAAACCCATGTTTGAATGAATCTAAAAGGATGGACGAATACAAGAATTAAAAAGCACAACACAAAATTGATCTGTTGTTTCCTTGTCTCCAGAATCGGAGAATAGCTTTATAATCACTTGATGGTCATTTAGAACTGAAATTCGACAAAGAGACCTGAAAAATTTGCCCCGCATCTATCTGCGAAATTTTCAGGATTCTATTTCCGCACTTTTAAAGGTTACCAGTGAGCACTCTTCCTTCATTTGAAATCTCCACTAGTCAAAATTATGAGTTTCATAACCTTCCTTGTGTTAGAAAATTTTTCAATAGAGTGTCGAAAGTTATACGGGATTGCATTGGTTTTGCTTTACTTCGCTCTGTGATTGGCCTAGAAAACTTGCGTTACTCTCTAAACCAATCAGATTCAAACTATAACCAATACAAATTGGGCACCCGCGTTTCCCCGCGCTTTAAGCAGTTTGGTTGTTTTAACTCAGAGTCTTCATGGCTTTTAAAGGCATTTTTGGGATTATTTCGGTTTGGGTTTAACGACTCTCAATCGAAAAGCGCTTTACTTGAAATCACAAAATGACAGGATATCCAGTTCCTCCATGAGCTTTTTCTTGCTTTTCTAAATCAGCAAAAAATTGACCTAGAAATCCTGTTTCATCTAAACTATCTCTCACATCAAGACAAACAAGACAACAGTCCCCGAACAGACAACAGTCCCCGAACACTGAACTTCTGAGTGACACAGTAACCCCAAATACTCTTTTTCCTACAAAACCAGCTTGCGGCACAGTGAGCCCAAGAAACCCTTTCGCTCTTAGGCCCATATCCCACAATTCTTTGCTAAATAATGAAGAGAATATGATGTTAGATCACGATCTCAGGACAAAGCTGATAACATTCTCCCTCTCCAAACCTGTTGGTTTTAATATGTATCAAAAACGTTAGGAGAAACTGCATACCAATAATTATTGGCTGTGAAAGGTTTAACAACTTACATGATGTATGGCTGCACACTGTGTTTGAGAAGAGACAGCAGGATGGAGTAGGACTGAGAACTAGAGTGCTCTAAGCAAAGCTGGTATAAGTATGTTAAGAGTCTGACACCCTGAGGATTGGATCAATACAAAAATGAGCGTAAGTGAAATTTAGATCAAAATATAATCAGCTGTAAGTAACTACATTTTAACTTAGTTTTAAATAGATTGCAGGGCGTGAAATTAACTTTTTTTTCTGATAGCCACTTGGCTCCTAAATTCTTCAAAGTGGTAGCCAATTCAAAAAAAGTTGGTCGCCATTTTCAAAGAAAAACAAAATCTTTCTTTATGCTGTCAGCGTTCTAGATAGACCCTCCAAAATTAAGTTAGGGAAAAGATCTTTAACGTGCTACAAAGCGGACACTAGGATGGATGATATACAACCTTCAGGCTCATCTAAATCCAAGATGGCGTCTAGTTGTCGATCGAGAAGTACGTGCTACGTTTTAGAAACAAACTTAATAAGGAAGTTTGCCGCGGATTTATCTTTGCAAATCTTTTTAATTCACGATATCTCTTGGTAAGGTTATGATGAAACGTTCTAGTCGCCAATTTGGCGACTAACTTTCAGGATTTGGTCGCCAAAGTGAAAAATTTAGTCGCATTGGCGCCTGTATTAGGCGCAATTTCACGCCCTGGATTGAAAAAAAGACGGCTGGAGTAAGCAGCAGAAACAAAACATGGGCAGGGTAACTGCCGTCAAGAATGGTACCATACCTTTAAAAAGAATGTAAAAAAAACTCTTTGTCCCACGCTCGTGACAAAACGAAGAACATATTTCTCTTTTTTCTCATTTTTCCCATCTTTCTTATTCTATTTACAAACATGACGCTACCGACATCGCTGATCCTAGCAGTATGCAGGACGCGTGTCATATATGAACTTCGTAATAGACCTCGCTCGCCGTAAAGTCTCTGTGGCTCAGTGGTCGAGCATCAGAGCGCGGAATCTGAAGGTCTGAGGTTAAATTCCTCATGGGAACTCAAAATTTTGCCTTTGTCCCACGCTCGTAACTAGACGAAAAACATCTTTCTTTACAAATGGAACTGCTACAACTCAGTTATGTCTACCTAAAAGTTCCTTTATTAGCTAAAGCGCAAACGTTTTCAAAATTGATTAACTTACCGTGGGGAATTTTGGTTTAGGATCTTCTGGAGCTTTCTTGAAAGCTTCCGAACACATGCAGACATCGGCAAGAAACCTGCAACATGCAACAAAAGACAGAGAACCGCATATTTAACTATTTAAGATCCCATCGCTCAGGACGCATACTACTCAAGAGAAACAAATTCTCTCCATGGGACAGGATTTTAAAAATGAATCAGAACACATAACAAAGGTTCAAGACTGTTCAGGACTAGACAGGAATGAGAGCAAGCTACTAGGGGGGGCATGAGGCATTCCTATTTTCATAAAAAGTGTAGTCTCCATAAATGCATTTTCTGCACTCCGTAATGAGAGTCATCCTATGTAAAAGCAAGGTTGCTCAACACAAAAATTAATTAGAGGGATGAAAGAACAAAAAACAACAACTGTTGCTCAATCACTTAGAATTCTCTTATTGAAACTTTGTCATGCTATTTATCAAATCTGGAGTAGATGGGAAACACAAGCGAAACAGAGCGAAACATGAAGGAAGCAGTTAATATTTGCTCATTGGAGGTGTCAGCTTGTTAGACCAAGCATTTATTTTCCTATAAAAGCTAAGTTTTTCGTTTGTCTCACGATGTACGAAATTTATTTTCCTGGTTCCAAAGTTCTCCATAAGATCTATCTGAGCCATTTTCAGCAATTAAATATTTCATTTTTGTTATCTTTTTCTACCTTAAGTTTATTTACCTTAGCTGCCTTCCTAGATTTTCAAATGCAAATGACAGCATCATGGGACTTTGCACGGAGGAAACTGTAAAATCAATTAAAAACAATATTCCTAAAAGCCATCTTGACCGTTAAATCATTCAGAAGTAGGAAGTCTACTTCCAGAAGCAGCTCACTGATAATCTCATTTTGAAAGTGTTCTTGGTTCACTGTTTGGTATTTTTCCAAAACGTTATCTATGCTTTTGAGTAAGTAAAACTGTCGCAACATGACAAAGACAAAACAACATCTTCACCTTGTTAGGTTGAAAAAAAGGGGCAGGAGCCTCTCTTGCTTACCAGTCGTTTTGCACCCACAGATGTTTCTTACTCAGCCCATTTGCACCCAGCTATGACCATTCATACCCAGTCAGTTAATTTTTTTTGTTTCATACCCATATTAATAAATACAGTCAGACCTGCATTAAGTAGCAATGTATTAAGCCGTCTCTAAGTATTAAGCCGTTAGTTGTCGAATTCATGAATTTGTTTCCACTCACACACTGTAATTTTCACCTCTATTAAGTGGTCACCTTTATTATGCAGTAATGGTCACCCTTTACTAAGTTTCGTTGTTCCCCGCCTGTATTGAGCGGTCACTGAAAGCAGGACCACTCAAGCAATACAAAGAATAATCTTTCACATAATTTTTAATCCATGTTTTTCTCCCAAAATCAAAGTAAGTAGTTTTTTTGGTCAAGATTCTGTACATTTAGCGTCAATTATGACACAAATTTGCGTTGTTTAACGTTTTCAGTAATACTCCTAATCTGTTGGATCGTATTTAGCGGTCAACCTGTAATAAATAATCACTCTGTCATTCTCCATAGTTGACCGCTTAATACAAGTTCAACTGTAGTTTGTAATTGATAATTTAAGGCATAGCAATTCCATACAAACCATCTACAGATAACACTGTTGCTCTGTAGCATTGTAAATAATTTTGAAGAGCTCCAAGGAAAGCCTGCAAAACCAAACCGGCTGAGTGGCCACGGTGATGTGTTGCAAACTTGTTAAGCTGGATGTAATCTGTTCCCATCGCTGCCAGCCGTGCTAAGACGTTGCGCAGCATCTCAGGTGAAGTCCCAGAAAGACGGACCTGATCACTGACAATAAAGGACTGTATAGCCTGTCAAACAAGAAATAAACAAATTACAACATTTTTTGCATTTCACATAGTTGCATCTGAATTTAGGCATCTTGAAAAATTTAGCTAAAAATCATTCAATTTGTCATTTAGAGGCACTCTTTGTTCCACATAGTTGCATCTGAGTTTAGGCATCTTGAAAAATTTAGCCAAAAATAATCCAGTTTGTCATTTACCGCCGTTCTTTGCAAAGGCCGGTAAAGTGAGAGAGACCTGGATTTCCTTGTGTTCAAGGAAGTTTTAGACATCAAAGAAATGACTCTAACTATAATAATTACATTTCAACATATCTGAACACAAAAAGCTGAATCATCTTTCCTAAAATAATCCTCACTTACTTTCATACAGGTTGTGAGTAGTAAACAATGACATCCACACCACAATCACTAAAATTAATTACAGTTGTTTTATTTTACGAGTCAAATATTGTACCTTATCAAGATGAAATGTTCTAGAAGGAACTCCAATAAGTACATTAATGGAATCCTTGATCAGGGCTTGTAAGGGAACCATATTGGGGCTTAAAGTTGGAGACTTCACAATGTAGGAGACTTGACGAATAACTGTATCATACAGTGAATCAAACACAGAAGCACCAGCTTCTGTAAGGTAAGGTTTTTCATTTAAAAGTTCCCGTCTGAAAAACAAAATGAGAAAAAAAAATGTAAATTCTAACACTACTTGCATCTCTTCCAGATCTCTGTAGAATTAGCCCTTTCAGTCCCAAGATCTCAATAGTAATTTTCATCTCTGCCTTCTTTACATTTCTTATAACTGGAGCTCTAAGAATTTTTCATTAACACTTTAATCCCTAAGAGTGACCAGCATCTAATTTCTTATTTCAACATCGCCCATGAATCAAACATTAAGGTCATGAGGAGAAAGGAAATAATAATTCACTGAAGAACCTCATGATTGTTAAACAAATTCTCCTTGCCAGCACATTGGGAAATGTATAGAGAACAGTATGGAGAATATGCATACTGATGCTGAGGTGTAAAGGGTTAAATCAATTGATATCCCCTTCATGATCATTTCCTTTCTTCTCATCAACTTCTCGGCTAACTATGAATTGTTACTGTGAGGAGAATTTACTCATTAGTCACTCTCAGGAGTGGATAGGATAACTGATACGCTTTTACAGCCTAACAATAGTTTTTGTATTTTCCTTCTTCATCTCTTTGCTTTTCCTGTGGAAATGATAAGGTTATTTGTTGGACAATCATAAGCTTCTTAAATTGGTGATCATTTCCATGATTCTCATGACATTCACATTTGATTCAAGGTTGATACTGTTAGGTGAAATTAGAAGCCAGTCACACTCAAGGAGCACCCCACCCAAGAATGGAACACAGTAATTCTGCCACTGTTTGAATTTCTAACCCCTTGACTTCTAGAGATACAAGCAGCTCTGTACCCCGGCATGCAGATAAGTGTTCCCACAATTAGCCAAATTTAGAGTCAAATGGAAAACAAAAGCATTATAAAAAGAGGAACTTTGAGAATGATTGCTGCTAACATGCATTCAACCCTTTCTCTCCCAAGATCTGACTGTTAATTCTCTCCTCTAGCAGCTGCATATTTCCATATAAATCACACAAATTTGGTGGTAGATCAAGAAAACAACTTGTATAACCAAGTTTGAGTAAGTTTGAGTCACAGTGTGCATGTCTATCGCTTCTGGGAGTTATAGGGTTAACCCTTTAATCCCTAAGAGTGACTGGCATCTAATTTCTCCTTAACATATCACCCCTGAATAACAAATTAAGGTCAGGAGAATAAAGAAACTAATCACCCACTACAGAAGCTCTTGATTGTTCCACAAATTCTCCATGTCAGTATCTTAGGAAATGATTAAAGAACAGTTTGGAGAATACACATACTGATTTTATGGCATAAATGGTTCACATGCATTTGCAGAATGAATATTGAACTTCACAGTCAGGCATAAGAGGTTATAATAGAGAGAAGACTGAGGAAAAACTTACTTTCCTTCCATTTCCCAGGTATAAAACTTTTGCGGTGGCAATGTCAAAGCTGCAGACCAGACATCAGTATTTTCTTGAGTGGATTGCTCTGAGGTGTGAGAAGATTCAGAGCTTGTCTCTAAAGACTCAAACCCTTCATCATCTGCACTCTAAATAGAAGAAATAAAATTGTCATTGTTATATCTCTCGGTCTGTATTTCCCTTTCTATTTGAATCCGAAGAGATAATAAATATCCTACTAACCTTGTTTTCTGAGTCCATACCTAAAGTTACAGAAACTTGCTTTTTTCAGTTACAATTTATGGCCTGCATGATTCACCTTTGAGCCATAAAACAGAAAAAACTTGGTCTATAGCTTACAGTATGGCCCTTGAACTTGGTTTGTAGGAGGTATTTAATAGATTTTTTTTTTTTTTTTTTTTTTTTACAGGGATGCATCACCTTTGGGGTGACAAGTAGTCAGGATCCAGAACTACAACCACTGGGTTGCCTATGTGACTGAAAATATATTGTTGGCAAAAAGAATGTTGGGCTTCACCAGCAGCAGTTGATTTACTAGGTCTCTTTCCAGTTCTCTAACCCAAAGCTCAAAAAGTTCATTTTTGAAAAAATTCAGGCTTGGTTTCAAGGAGGATTCTCATCCTACATATACCTAAGTTTGTCTTGCTGAGGTTTTCATCCTCCAGTGAAAATAGGCTAAGTTTAAAAAGGAAAGTGAGGTAGACTACTTGACCCCAAAATAAATTTTTGTTAAAGAAACCGCATTAGAACTATCATTTTTGTATTTGACTATGAAGTAAAAATCATACAAATCAAAACTTGCTAATACATCAAAACCTCTAGTCACCAGATTTTTCCATTTGACAGTTAGTAAACAATACTCAAAGTTAATTTCAGACCGCAATAGGGTTGATTTGGTTGAATTTTGACAACTAGCGGATTACAATTTTTGAATCTGCTTAAAATTCTACAGAAATTACATGTTTAGTAATGTTGCAACTTTTTAAGCAATAAACTAACCTCTCTCTGTTCCAGGGCTAAGGAATGAAGAGTCCTGTACAAAAACAAATTCAAAATATCTCAGTCATAGATATCATTTTAGAATGGACCCAATAAAGGGTAGTAGTAAGAATGCCCCCCACCCCTCACCCCACCATGCACTATCCTCAAAACCCCCCCCTTCCCCCTACGTCCCCCATACCTTCATACCTTCATCCTGCATTCTTGGGAGTTCACAATAATTTGTCAGTTTACCTGGAACTGCTAGGAATGTCAGGTAAATCCAGCTTCACATGCAGGTCATCAGTGTGGCTGTGAACAAGTGCACTAAATAATGAAGAACGCTCATTCTTTTCATACAGGTCTTCATTGCCATCCTGAAAAAATGATTAAAAAGAGAAGATTAAAAGTAATGAGCTACCATACCCTAAATAATAACATAAAACTTCAGATGAAATGCACTATTTTTCCCATCAATATGGGTGCAGTTTTATCTAGAGGGGGAGTGGAGGAAGGAGGGGGGTGCTGGCTGGACAGTAGGGACCCTTGGATAAGGCAAGCACTTACTTTCCTTTCAACCCCTTACACCCTTTACATCAGTATGTATATTCTCCATACCAATCTTCAGAAATTCCCTTTGGTACTGACAAGGAGAATTTGACAACCAGGAGCTTCCTAAGTTTGAAATCATACATGTATTTTTGTGACAGTTATGTTTGATTTTGGGGTAATATTGTGAAGAAAAATTAAATGTATATGTTAGTCACTCTCAGAGTTTACAGGGTTTAGTGAAACAGCACATTTGAGACGAGAGAAAATGGGCTGAAAGGTGACAATTAACCCTCTTGAAGTTTTGTTATCCAGTAACATAGTTTATTCTTATGTTTCAATATGGATTTTTTTTTCTATATATAAAAAAATTCTGTAAGTACAGTGTTTAAAAACCACAAGCATCTTACCTGACAAGGCAAGAAGAGTGCTTTTCCAGGAAATGTCCCTGGCATTTCCTCAAAGATCTAGAAAGAAAATATATAAATAAATAAAGATACCATCGATAATTGCAGTTACAGCTTTTTGTACTTCCTCAACAACCTGTGGTTTGAATTCTACTCTGTAGGCAACCTTTTTCAAAATCGATTGTATTAATTTTGTAAACAATAAACGATACTCAACAATAAACTATACTCACCTGCAGTTCAGCATGCCGTTTGCCTGTTGATCCATCAGTTCCTGGAACTGAGAGGACCGGAGGACATTCAAACAACTCCCTGTTTAACATCAAAGATAAAATAAAACCTACTGTTATTTAGATATTAGGGACTTTAAGCTGGCAAAACAGAGGTGCAGAGGAAAACATCAATTGAAAAATGTTATTCTTTTTCGTCACTTTCCAAAATGATTGAATGTGTTTGCTGTCTCTGACAACACTTCACTTCAAAAGGAGGCAGTGTGGCTGAGGATTTAGGGTGCTGGACTCGTAATTTGGTGGTCCTGGGTTCAAGTGCTCTGCCCTGCCACTCACTGGATTTGTTCTCGGTTGCCACAAGTTCAACTCAAGTGTACAGAATGTGTCATGTGTGCGCACTGTTGTCTTGCATTTCCCTGAGTTAACTGTTGTTTTCTTTTGTTGTTTTGTTTATGAAAACCTATAACTAATGTTTAGTTTCTTTCTCAAATATTGTCATAGTTTTGATCAATTGGTAACAGGACTTTACGTCTTTCAATTCTGCCTGCAATCATATTTGTGATTAACAAATCAGACTGCTGGTCATCCAATTAAATGTATATCACTCGTATGATTACAGACTAAAATGGACTCTACTCAGTCCTATCACCATTTTAAATTTTCTTTGTCTACATCACCAGCTCAATTACACACATTTTAAATGGTTCTTACTTATGATCTTTTTGAGGAAAGATGCATCTATAGATGATATCACCATTAAAAACATTTTGCTTTTTGCAATCATATGAAACAAATAGATTCCATGTTGCTGTGGGTCTGTGATGTAATCAATTACTGAAGACATCACAATGTGGCCAGAACATCAGTGACACACTCTGCACCTCGTGAGCCACATTTTTTGTCTTTACCAAATTTAGTTATCATCTGTGATCTATTATTGAAGGATGCATGACAATGTGGAATCTATGCATTAAATTGCACAGCTTGTTAACCCTTTAACTCCCAAGTTCTCTTTATTACTGTTACACATTTTCTTGTAAATTAGTTATGAGAATTTAGTGTAAGATCAAGATAACAATTTCTACCTGATAAGTTGGAGTTTTCTCATTACCTGTTTGCAGGATAATACATATGGATATTATAGGGAGAAGTTACATGACTATCAGTTCTGAGAGTTTAATGGTTAAGATGAAGACACCAAAGTCCTTTTCTTCTCACAATGGTGACCAAAACAGGCAGAGCTTGGAGAGTGGTTTTTACACCATATACAGTTTCTCTAGATATTCAAATTGTCCAAAAATATGTACAGGCTATGCCAACCAGAACCAAAACTAATGTTTTTATCAGTCACTGCATAAAAAGTAAAGTTTACTGCACTGCCACAGACCTTGAGTAATGGACGTAGTGATCAAATTCTAATCCTTGTTGTCTCAGAAGCTGACTGTCTGTAACAAGAAGAGGTCCCTCAGGAAGAGAAGTCTTTTGGATCTAAAAAGCACAAACTAATAATTATTTAAACAAATACCTATGTTTTTTGTTACCTTGTCATGAGCATGAGACAGAAAAAAGATTCTCAGTTTACATGTTGGAGAATCAAATCTCAGATAGCTGCATGCAGCACACCAATGCTCTATCACTTAGCCAGTCAGAGACTCCATGATGAACTAGGCTATGAATCAAGTTCGCATGTTACCTGCCCTTCCCACATCATTGGGACCAGCAATGTCAAAAGTGTTATGTGAGTCGATGGAAAGAAAGAGAAATGTGGCAAATTTTAAGCTTGATAACAAAATTAAAAAGGTATTTTAGCCTTGTCACAAACACAGAGAAGAGAAAAAATGCAGATTTCCTGATAGTAATCAGACCTCAGACCTTAGGACTCAGCACTGTGATGCTCTTCCACTATGATTTTCTCACCTCCCCCTCCCCTCTCCCCTATCCCTCCTGAGTCCCCCCCCCCTTTCCACCCTTAAAATATCATTTTCTCCACACTTTTATCAATACATCTCCCAAGGTGCTGACAAGGAGAATTTGTTTAACAATCAGGAGCTTCCTTAGTTGGTGATCATTTCCTATATTCTTGAGATCTTAATGTTTGATTCAGGGGTGACATTGTAAGGAGAAAATAGAGGTTTGTCACTCTTAGAGGGTTAAAGGGTTAATCTTCAAATCAATTTTATGGCTTCTTCACCTGATTAAGTCCTCTGGCCCAGACATCATCCTGATAACCCAGCACTGATGTTGGTCCATAATGCCCTGTTCCCGTCAATGCAACAAGAAATCTCAACACAGCTTCCTTCTCAGTTGCATTTGTCTCTTTTGTGCTGTTAAATTTAATGGCACTGCTTGAGGGCTCTGTTTGAAAACAAAACTTTTCACAGTGAATTTAACAAGATGGGAAACGCAAAGTAAATGTTAAGTGATAGCATGCTGGATGGCATATCATGGGGTAGGTCAAGTACAAAGTATGTTATTGTGTTGTCTTCTTAGCCAAGAACACTTCATTTTAACTTCACTTCACAATGCCTTGCACTACCTTGAAGTATAAATGGGTACCAGTCCACTATCATGGAAGCCTAGTGAAATGCTGGGGGAGGGGGGGGTAATGTGCTGCTCAATTTGAACCTCTATTACAAGGGAAAATACAAGCATTTGACAGGAAATTTGAAAGGGGTGTGTGAGTTCATGTTTTAAGGCTAGGTCAATGCATTCAAAGTTATAATTGCTGATTTTGCCTTTAGGGTGGGCATTTAAACACAATTTTTGCCTTAGGGGCAGGAACTAGTACAAACCAATCTCCAAAAGTTCAAATTCCCAGGGGTTGCCAGGGAGGGGGGAAATGTTGAGGCTTGATTGACTGCATAACCAGAAATGAATGGCATCCATCCTGAGAGAGTGCACAAACTCTTAGTTGTGTCAAGCCACAGAAACAGGGGATGCACACAAGCAGCTATGGACCTCTGAGACCTAACCCTATATTAAATGCATAGGGATCATTGTTTTAATGTTTGAATATTCAAAATTTTGTAAAATACCCAAATCTAAAATAATTTGATGCTTACATGTCTCACAGTACTTTTTTAACGAAGTAAATAAGGGACTTGCACCCACTTGTTATGTGACTCATAGTGCTGGAACTTATTGCATTTTCTTTGGCATGTACCAATAATAATAATGCCAAATGTATGTACATTCCCCCTGGGTTGGTTGCTAATTTACTGCAGGTGAACCTTCAAAATCATTCGGATTTTCCTGTCAGTTCAGCTTCACTGAAACCATGAAGGCCTGCTGTGCACACTTAATAAAATAGCATTTAATGCCAATATCAAGGAGCTGAATAGCAAAGCGCAGCAATTTGTTGCATTCCATTCAATTGCATGGTTGTACATACAGTGTACGTGCTAACAATAATTAAAAACAGTTATGGGAAATGTTTGCAGTCTCTTCCTATCTGAGTAGTTTCCTCTGCAGCTAATATAATCATACGGGCAAAACATAAGCTTATGCTTCCTCGATCACAATTTTCTCCGTAGATGTCGAAATATATCTACGGACACACATCGTATATTAGACTTAAATTTTAAACCTACCTTGCAAATTCCTCCACTGACAAACGAAATGATCCAATTTCTCCGCATCATCAAACCTCCTAGCTATCCTCAATTTGAATGCAGCGATCGACAGTTTATCATAAATATTGAATCGTAAATCATCCTTCTTCTCAGCTTTATCGCCAGTGCGAACTAACTCACTAATCCAAGGAGCTCGAAGTTCTTCGAAAAGGGTCTCGTAGAGGCAAACTTTTAAAGCCTTTTGCCTTTTATCCGTGTAACGTGGACGCCTGTAAATATCCCATCCTATGTTAGCTTCATTTTTGAAGGATTTCTCGCAGAGTTTGGAGAAAAGAAACGATAACCCTTCACTTTCCTCATCCATATTCCTCCATTTTCCCCGCCAATAAAGATCAATATAAATGCTTGGTAACCATACCTTTCGTACTTCTCACGCGCGGTTCACGCGCAGCTAACTATGCAAAAAGTTCGAAATCACGCAACATTATACGTATAGATAACTTTATCGGTTACTCTTTGCACACTTTTTTTTTTCCGGTTTATTGTTCAAAAATTAATTCCCTCCATTGAAATGAAAGGTGGCACGGCAAGATAAATTATGGTTGAAAAAATCTGATAAGACTTTGGACAGATATGTATTTAAAATTAAGGGGGCAGCGAATGGTTAAAGACTTGCAAGACGACAAAACCGGTAAACCCACGTCTAAAAATCCTAAACAATTTTAGCTACACAAAATCTTTGATTTTAACCATAAATTGTGCTCAGATTAAGGCAGGGTACTTAAAATGACAGGGAAGTTTTGCGGTAGGGTTAGAACTGCGTTTAAATTGCGATGTATCAGCGGAATCTATACCATCGCGAGCCGAGGTCATTTTCAAACAACAGCGGTAAAGTACAAAACAGTTCGTTTCTCCCAAAGATGACTCTAACTCGCCTCGGCTATCGTTTGATAGAGACCCTCCGCTATAAGAAAAAAAAATATCCGTCTTTAAAAAGACTCTGAAAAAAATGTGAAATTTCGTACGTGACCGAAACAAAGAAACTTAACGACTTACCACTGAAGCCTGACAAGATCTATAGATCGCGTACAAGCATGAGTTGTTAGACCCGTGGTTTTTCAAGTTATACCAATTTCCACCCGGCTTATTCAGGAAAAGACTCCGACGCATCCAGGCTTAGGGTTACAGTCATATCTACTTAAACTACACTTAAAATTTTATCATCGAAACTAGTCTGACATCCCGCCTAAGCGACGCCTTGTTGTTGTGATACAGACACGAAATCTGTCTCAAGATTAACCACTCAAATTATGTACATTTTAGCGGTAGAATACAAGTCATTTTAATTTAATTTCTAGCTCGTGATTACAGAATTATTGATGATATTTATACGATTGTAATCGCTTTTCGTGATCAGAGGAAATCTCCATCGCTCCTTTAGCATGTCTCCTGTGAAGAAGAGATCTTTGATACGACAGGAGATTCATCATGCCCAAGTCTACTTCAGCGCAAATGAATTTCCAGACTTCGATGTTGTTTCTGCTGTTTTCTACTTTAGGTAAGTCTCAAAAAAAGTTTGTTAGCAGAAATACCTTTTTAAACTTGAGGTATTCACAGAAACTGACAGATTCGCTCAAAGAATTTTTCGAAAAAAAAAAAAAAGATGAAAAAAATTACCGCGGTATATCTCATAAAGAAATTGAAAACGACACAAGCCTCGATTCAATGTTGCAGGTAATATTTATGTAAGATTCAGTAAGCTTCAGAATTTCTGACTTTTGACAATGCTGGGTCGGAATATAGAGATACCCTTCTAAATTTTAGGAATCCTTTTTTTGGGTGTTGGAAAGGTCATTTCCTATTAGTTCCATCATGAAACCCGCTCCAAGATTGTTATAATTCGATCTTAGGATAAAGTACAATACTGAATGATATTCAAAGATTTCAATTTAGCTTAGTTCTTGGTTTAAAGAACTCGCGATGAGAAGTAATATTTGCAAATACAACAAAGTTACTATTTAATTCTAACTTTTAAAAGGGGGACCTCGTTGATTCAATCTCCTAACTGGTTTTTTTCGAGTGGCAAAATCTCGAGAATCATTACCAGAGAAAAGTAAAGAATCTATATTTGTTTGTAAAGAGGTTGCTGAATTCAAAATTGAAAAAGAACTTTTCAAAATTATTCATGAAAAAGACGCTGTCGCCATGTGGTTTCTGAGGTTCAGCTCAGCTCCACAAAAAATTATTCGTAATTATTTTGTGGGGACGAAACCTGATTGAGCTGTGCATGGCAAATGAGGATTAAATAGCAAAACTCCTTTTGATATTTGATATTTGCTGATAGAAAGGGAATCTTTTCTAGGTTTTAAACCGAAATATAGTCCTAGAATCTATGTAGCGACAGTTTAAATCCGAACTAGTTGTATCCCGACTAGAAATTTCCAGAACTTTGATACTCACCTTACTGGAGCATATAACAATAAAAATTGACATCCTTATCGCGTTTAATTAAAACATCATGAAAATTTAATGAATACAAAAGGGTTCCTTTTTCTCCTGGGTGCAATTTCCCGAAAGAACTACAACCACTTGCAAAAGTAGTTCAGGCATATTACTGAGACAAGAGAAAAATTTTAATGTATCACCTACCCTCTATTGTTTGATCCAACACCAAATTCTCAGAGCTAAAATTACGAGAAATGTATGGCTGGTGATGAGGAGAATTGGTATCTCTCTCTAATTTGCGTTCTTGTTCTCTGTGTCAGTTTTTCAAATGATGGTTCAAATAACTGATGGCGATATCGGCTCTTGCAGTCTCCACATGTATTTTTATGAAACCCGGAGCAGTTGTGAGACTCCTTTTTATCGGAGACTTCAGCTTGGTCACACAGCTAACTGCAGGTGCGAGAGGCATGTTACTTCTGACAATAAGTGTTATTCAAAGAGAGCCTTCTCTCCGATTCTAGACTAAAGTTTAAATCACCTACTCCTTGTCGCAAAAGGGATGTCCCTTTATGAAAAATATTGAGGAGCTTGACTGTCTAAAGTTCGAAACGATGCCCCCTAAGTGATGTGCTGAGAGGGCCCTCTGAGAGACTAAAGTTTACATCACCGCTTTCCCTCCCCCAGCCTTTCCCAAGAAAAGGGCTACCACATGGAAAATATTGGGTAGTTCGTCGGAGGTTTGTTTTAATATCCTTAAGTAATGTCGTAGAGTCTCGTAAAACAATCCGTTCGCTTGCCCTAGGAGGGCCTAAAGTTTATATCACCTATGTCAGCTCCCCCCCATGCCCCCCAGCCTGTCCTGATCGAGCTAGGAGGAGTCTCCCATTTGAAAATTATCGGAAGGCATATCAGAAGTTTGAATTAATCTTCTGAGCGTAGCTAAAGTCTCATTTGATTTTTTTAAAGATAAAAAACGATGAGTCAAATATAACCGTATCGTCCCAAACACTCGTCTTTGGAGACAGCCGAGCATCACTCAGATTTCCATGCGATAGTGCTCCCCGACTCATCTCGGCTATCTACCCGTCTAGTTTCATTTTAAAAAAATCAGTGTATCGATCTTCATAAATAAAGAGACTGAGGAAAAGGCTGAATCAATTTTTAATTTCTCTTGACAGTGATAGTTTTGAAAGTCTCATTAGTTGCATCAAGAACGTCACTCGCGTTTGTGAACACAGTTGGCGAAGCGATAAATGGATAGACATGGACGTCAGATTGAAATTCAGGAAGCAGTTTTATTGTCATGATGGGGCTTTGATTCTTCCCATGGCTTTGTGTGGGAGCGGTTACTACAGAAAAGGTCCGAAATGCTTGCGAGAGTTCCATAGGAAGTTTCGAAACGACACCAGTGACCCGTCGCTGTGCGAGTAAGTGGCTTTTAAGGAGACACTTCTGGGGGCCGATCGAGCCTTAACGTTTCTTTGATGGGTTGAATTTATACCGATCATTGTCTGTTGAGGAGGAGATGGTGCTGTCACGAGAGCGCGCTATGACCCGCTCGTCTCGAGGGAGTGAGTACTCCTTAGAAAGGCCCATACTAGAAGGCTCCGCCCAAATAAGGTCCTTTTCAAGGTTTAGGGATGTATAGTTTGATAGAGAAACATTTCCCATCAAAACTTGTATATACCAGGGGAAGGAATTTAACCTGCGGGTAAGGAACCTCCCATGTGAAACTCTTACAAGTCCCGATCCCCCTACCCCCCCCCTCTTGTCCCTCTCTGTCCGATTGCGGTCCTGAGGCACTTTCTCGAAGGTCCTGGTAACTTAGTGGACCCGTAAAGCTGTTCTGTTTATTTTTTATTAAGTTTTGAGAACTATACAATTAAAATATCAGCTAAAGAAACAAAATGGACTGGTCTAGGTGCCAGAGCCTGTTTCTTTATTCTTTAAATTTTGCTTTTCAAATATGGCTTTAGGCCCGTTCCGGTTATTAAGAATTTCAAGAAACTGGCCCGGGTCAAGTATTTCGCACTTTTCCCAAAAACATTTTTTAAAGTTTTTTATCTATTTGCATTAATCTTTAGCCCTTCAGGCAAGAGCAAAAATTTCCAATGTTTTTTCAGTATTATTTTTGGATGAATGCCTTTATTTAAAATAAAAATAAACCTCAGGGTAGCCCCGTCAGAGGCCCTAAAGAGCCACCTTCTATCAATGGGAGCCCTGCCCTATTTTTTACTTTAAATAAAAGACTTGAGTTCTATTAACATTCCATTTCTAATATTGCAGCGAGTACTCAAAGGCAAAGGATTGTATAAATAATCTTTTAAACATTGAATGTCCTGCTAAGAAAGGCTCAGAATCACCTCTCATGAAGATATTATTTGACGGCTACAATCCCTTCTGCCCTAACAGAGTTTACTATCCTCCGACTACAGTTACAGCACCCACACGCAGAACTCAGCAGAAATCTGAAAAGGTACCGGGACCTACGATCAAACCGGTCCTTAGCAGAAAAAAAATTTCTTCCAGCGGTGCGTGCTGCAATAAACTGTATTCTGAGCTACATCTACTGATTCTAATTCTCCTTGTGGAGAAATTTTCAGTTCAGTGTCGATAGTAACCGGTAAATGTATGTCTTTATCAGACAAAGCTTCGTGATTGGTGTAAAAAAAAAAAAGGTGCTGCCCCCTAAACCAATCAGAAACGAAATTAGATGAAATTGTGGCGCGGTCAATTAGTCCATCAGTTGTATTTCCCGCGCTTCAGGCAATCGACTTTTCTTAATCATATTTTCTTTAGAGAAAGATGTTTTTTTTTCGTCTTAACGCTAGCGTGGGACAAAGAAAAAATTCTGAGTCCCAATGAGGACCTTTTTTTATGGGACAAAGAAAAATGATGAGTCCTCATGAGGACTTTCTTTCTTCTCAATTGCTATTAAAAGTTATTTGTATAAATTTTGGTCAATTTTGGACGACGACACGAAAAATGCTTGATAAATTTTTTCATGAAATAGCAGTTGTATGAGATGGAGTGATTAGCCTCCAGGAACCGGATTCCAATTTTAAAGATTTATTCATATTAGAGCCTGTTGAAAACTGTACGATACGTTAATTAGTCGTAATTTGATTGACATTTGTAAGCGATTTCATTTGTGAATTACTTAACCAAACATGTATGCAACACGTGTTTTTTTTCGCCCATGTATGGCCTTGTTCCACGTGCTTGCTACCCCACGTTTTTTATATCCTTTTCGGATAAGCCAGGAGTTGTGAGAAGGAGTTAACCGAAGCGTTGTAAAGAATCGTTGAATCAAATGAATAAACCGTGACTTTATAAGGAAGCGTGGTACAGTTTTTTCACGTTTTCAATAAGCCTTGAATGATAATATACTGCTGCTCAATTTGCAGGATGTGTATAAAGTGTAACTAATTTGCGTTGCAAGGCACTATTCGATGTAAAATAGTACGGTCTCTATTTCTGTGTGAATCATTTGAGAATTCCTTAAACACTAATTTAGCGTTTTTTAAGGTCATGAATGTTGTTATAAAAATCTGACAGAAAATTGATGTGAAAATGATCTGATTTGTCCTTTTTTACTCTTAGCTGATAGTCTCATGTAATAACCACCATTTACAATTCTCCCTTGATCTGCTTTTTACATCCTCTTTACAGCTAATGGCCATTTTTCTCTTCACTTTGATTTTCTGCTATTAATGGAATTTTGTCACATAAGCGGCGCGTGTTGCAAATTGTGTCTTACCCGACACGTCATCTCAGAACACTTATCAATTTTATCTTATGATTTTGAGATTTAAATTTTACAATTTTCTTTCAGCGTCGAAAAGCTTCTCTGAAAACGAGGTAATACCTGGTCTCCTCTCGATCACAGGCCCACGAGACCGTCTTCAATTAAGAATACATATGAACTCAAATAGGAGCAGGAACCGTTTTCTTGTGGGAAATCATGAAGTTTTATGTTCGGTCACTGTACATTTCCTTCTGCATATTTGGGTCATCATTTCCATCATTGTTATTGTTACATGAAACTGTGTGACTGCTCTGACCATGGTATTGGGTATTAACAAAGAACTTCATTTCGCTTAAGTTATGGATCTAAGCTTTAGTTTCTTGCTGCGAAAGCAAGAAATAATCTGACCATTTTCATTGTGTCCACACTTTTACGTTGTTATTATGTTTATTTGAAAATAATGTATCTTCCTGAATGGCCTTGATATATCATGAAGTAGTTTTATGTGACTATTCACATGTTCCGAATTAGATGATTGTTGAAAAAACGGTAGTTTACTGGGATTCACTTTCTCTCACCTTTTTCCAGTCTACTATCAACAGACCCACGAGGGAAATTTTCACTTTGTCATCAACTTGTCAGACTGATGCAGTCTAAAACCACAATGTTGAAATCTCAAGAATCTAAGAATTTGCTAAAATCATCAATACGTATTTCACAGTCGAACTGCTTTACACGTCGATCATGGTGTGTTTTCCTTCAAGTCATTTATCGTCTAGGAACTGGTAATGGTTTGGTGAGGAAACGCATTCTATCATTGGTATACACTGGGTTGGAGGCCCACTCGACCGCGATAGGCTGAGCTGGGGTCTGGGACCGTTTGAACACAGTTTCTTTGGAATCTTTGCTAACTCTGCTCGAAATTCCTTACAAAATATCATAAAAATAACAGGATTGCAAACACAATTAGTGTACGTGAAAAGCCAACAGATAATCTTAATTGAGTTCAAATCCTGGTGTGTGTGTCCACCGCCAAAATCTGACCATAACCAGAGTACCTGGTTGGGCAGCATAAAGACGGCGAAAATTGCAACAATAACGATGAAAAGTTTTGTCACCCGTACATTCGACTCCACCTCGAAACCACGCCTCATGCTCTTAGCCACGCGAGAGCTTATCTTCCGAACCACTCCCCTACCTCTCTCTGTGCTGTTGTTGCTCTCGCGATCTCGGTGTATTTCTCCCCTTGAGCGCATCTTAGTCGTGTTACTGGTCACATTATATAGTTTCGTCAACGCCAATGTATACATGGCTGTCATAAAGCTGAGAGGCAATGCGTACTGTACCAGGAACAAGATTACCGTATAGGCTTGTCTGGAGGTGAAGTTTGGCCATGCTTCCCCGCAATTGTGATCTTCAAGTTTTAAGACGATGACATAGGGTACCACCACAACCGCTGACAGAATATGAACGCTTGAGATGAGAAAGGTTATCTGTCTTTTCGTAAGACGCGGGGTAAAGGGGTGCATTAGAAGGCGGAATCTGAAAAGTAAACACATGTCTTGGTATTGCAGTTAACATAAGTCAGTATCATTTCCGTCGGAGTGTTATAAATAGAAACGAAAATGCATATAAAACTCCTGAAGCTTGAATCATTCACAACTTCACTAAGTAATCTTATTATAAAGCTTGCAGTGGCCGCGGGCATTACGAAGCGAATCCTGTGCTCTGATTGGCTACCCGAGCGGGAAAGATGAGCTTATCTTGTCCGCTGTGATCCCGTGCTAGGAAAAAAACTGCGTGAAGCGCCCGTACAAAGTTCGAAATTTTTGGACAGTGTCGGTGATGGAGTCGTTAAAGCGGCAGAGCACAGTCCAAACATAGAAAACATAAACGACCCAGTTGGTTTCCTTTCCCGGCTCTCGAAAGAAACAAGTCATTCTTGATTCTTATCAAAGCGAAATCAGTTTTTGCCATATGATTAATCTTTTAATGAGCAAGCTTGCTCGGTCAAGATGGCTGGATATTATCTTAGGTTTTTTATTTGGGGGGCGTTTTTATGGACCTCGAAAAATGCAAAAAAAAAAAGGAAAAAAAAAGACTCCGCCAATATCATCTCGACCTCACGCTTGGTAAACAACGCATATATCTTTCCATTTGCAAGGGTTACATTTTTATAATTTTGGGCATAATTCTATAGCCAGAGCATCGAGCATGATGTCGGCGCAATTGCTAAAGTTGTTTAAAATTCGCTCCATATTACAGTCCAATAAAAGATAAATTCTGTGGCCTGAGTACTGTCACAAATGTGCCTGCTTCTCTTGTCTGCGCTTCAGGAATTCGATCCACTAAAATATTTTGTTCTGAGGGGCTCCTAAAAGCCATAATTTTGAATTATTAAATTTAGCATCATGAAACATTTTGAACATAATTTTTGGCATAATGCCTTGTTTTCATGGGGTGACGCTTAAAAGCAGAATGTTCAAATTTTCGAGCATAATTTATCTGACCCTGCCAAATGAACTGTGCTGAAATGTAAATAACTAATTCAAAGGACCCCATGCGCGAAAAAAAAAAGAAAAAAAAAAAGACGTGTCTTCCCTCCTCACTGGTTTCGTTTGAATAATAAATTCCTGTTAGTTAATTAATTGACAGTATCTGAATTTTTGGAATAAATTTGGTGATAAATAATTCCGTTGGCCTTGATTAAGAATTTCCATCAGCGAAGGACCAAACTCCAATTATCTAGAATTGCTACGGTAACTTTTTGTGAAACAATCATCGCTGTGTCTCTAATCATGCAAATTATAAGGTTCATTTAAAAACTCGTTCTATACTAACCTGTCTAAGGAAATGCCCGCCAAGGTTAAGGCAGAGGCTGTAGCTGTAAATGTCGTTGCTGGCCACAACATTCGACACATTATCGCGCCGTAAGGCCACACGTAACTGCGTTCCTCCAGAGCTAAATCGAACGGGATGCTCAATAATGGCGTTAGAAAATCGCAAGCACTCAGATTTAACAACAACCTGTTCGACGAAGCTTGACGAAGCCGGCGATTGCAGGAAATTAAACAAAAGACTAGTCCATTGCCAAGTGAACTGAACGCTAAAATGATGAAATACAAAAATAACTTGGAAGTTTTGAATTCTGGTGATTCGCCGACCAAAACGTCCGTTGTCGGGTTCTCGGAAAATGTCGATCCATTTATCAAAACACATGCTGCGCTGGTATGTTCTTGTACGCTGAAACTTGTGCTCTCTTTCATGGTTGGAACCTTAAGTATATTTTGGCCTAACAGGCCAAGTAGAAACTTGTAAAAAGTGCGCAATCGAAGACTCGATCACGAATGAATGCGAGCGAAGCTGTAGAATTTCTTCCACAGCCCCCAAGTTTTGATCTGACAGGCTGAACTATTGTCTTCCGTCGTATCTCAGAAAAACGTCACTAATGCTGCAGATGTTCATCTTTGCTCAAAATAATCCCCAGATGCTACTGAAGTATATCTTTCTCAACGGTTTGGCGAAAGATAGCTCGATTGATGCTTCACTTAGGAAATCAGCAAAGTGAACTGCTTAGTTTCTTTTGTCCAAAACTGAATTGTTGCAGTTTTCGGTCCCCCAAAAAATGACCTTGCATCTCATCAACTCGCACTTTAAGTTCGCGTGATCTAGAATTAATTGAAACAATCTTGTGTTTGATACATCCTCCGGGGGAGATAAAATCAATGCTGCAATTTCTTAGGGAGGGGACCGGGGAGGTAGAAGGGAATGTTAACGCATTCTGATAAAATAAGCGAAAGAATAGGTGTTTTAGTACTACGTTTCGCAATGAAAAGAAGAAAACCAAACAAAAATTCAACCGCTATAAAGTATTTACTGCGAATAAAACTTCTTATGCTGTTGCTATAAACTATCGGGTAACTAGCATAACAGCGGAGCGTGACACAGAAGGCCCAAGGAATGTTACGCTCAATTGAAAAGTCTTAAGTTAGACGTGCCCGGCTTGAAAAATCTGAAGTTGGCTTCCAAATCTTTTCTTGAATTAAAATCTTGAAATCATAGAGTGAAATTCACGGCGTTACGTTGTCACACAAGACTACCTTAGCCTTCCCCTACACGCGACTTAAGCCTCCCCCCTGCCTCGTTCTCAAGTCTTCTTGTTAACAGATCTAGTTTCTGTTATGGTATGCAAAATTGATTTCTAACTTAAGCGGTCTGTGCGTGCACTGCAAAGACCATCGTTCCTTCAGCTCAAATGAGGTGCAAATTTTTCTTAAACCCTGTTCAGTTTTTTTTTCCGATCAGTACTTCACTTTTCGCACATGATGCATAAGGACCGGTCTTTTAAAATTCTCTCAAAGTAATCGTCTATTGGCTCCATGAGTAGCAAAGAAGTCGGCATACAGCTTTAGAACACAATTATATCATGTGCACGGTTTATTGACCTTTTCAAGTGGGTCCTCGGAACATCATGAGCGTTTACGATCAAACTTTCGCGGGGCGTAATTGTTGACAAGAATAATAATAAGGTAGGTTAAGAAAACTTTTTCAGTGGCAATAATAATTACAAAGGGGAAAATATTACGTGGAATTCCCATTTAAGAGGGCAATTTCTCTGGATTAATTTTCACCTTGAAACGCAGAGAAACTGGAACGGAATAGATCGAGCAAATTGGATAGCGCGCTATAAGTCCCGATGAATGATTCGACTGTATTGTCGACAAAAATCTGAAAAATGCATTTCATTTTAAGAACGCCCAAAAATTATATGATTACCCTCTAATTGCTATGCCTCAGGCAACATGACAAGTAGTTTAACATTTTGTTTTGATTTTTTTTAGATTCTTAAGCATTACGAGCTGTCAAAGAAAAAAACAGTGAAAAGGAAAAAAAAAAGGCAGCACGCCGCGCGGAAACTCTGAAAAGAAAGGCTCATGAAAAGAAGTGACTACAGGCTAAGCCAGAGAGTTTGATTTCTGCGCTCCGCTCAGAAGGCAAAAATATGAGTGGCTATCGACCAGAATTCTGTGAGTAAGTGGTACACTAAAATCAAATTTTTCTTCATTCATATTTTTTTAATTGCGCGATGGACTACGAGGAAGGATTGCTCGTAGTCTGCAGTATTCTGGATTTGTGTTTTTTTTCTCGCGCACTTTGACCGGGCATCATTTTTACTACTTTTCCCTTTTTTATCAGCGAGTGGTGGAGGCTGAGAAGAACCAACACTCCTTGAGGGGCCAGCAAAGCTTGGCAATAATAAGTACGACACAACAACTTGTATGCGTCCAGCTTCCTTACATTCTTATAAATAACGATTTACATACGAGAATCTGCCCGGCGACGATTCGAAGTTATTGCTTCACAGGATAACCTCAAAAACCTCAGCCAAAACCTAAACTTGGCAAAAGACGCCAAAAAAAATACCAACGACTTCCAAGCAACGCACATGGCGCGGGAAACTCTACCCTTCGTATATTGTCAGCGGCGCTATAGATTTTAAGTAAATTCAACGAATCATACAACTCCCCTCCAGCCGGGACATGTTCATCCCCTATAGAAGTCCGGTTATGAGTAATGATAGTGTAAATTTTGAAAGTCTTTTAACTGAAAAACCCCAAAACTAACAATGAAATGAAAAAGGCTTGACAATTCCAAACAGTGTATGAGGTTCTGTGGACAATAACTCAAAAAGGTTGAAGACTTAAAATCAAACTTGATAAAATAAAGGTCGATGTGAACCTACCGCCAACTGAACAACTGAGTAATTGAACTGAGAAAGAAACGCAGTCGGGCGACAAGATGTGTTTATTTGCTCCTAAGGATCATTAATTGATAGGATATCAATAACTCGCACTCAGATTAAACTTGTCAGCTAATTCAAATGGTTTTAAGCTTTAAAAGATTTTCACAAACTCTAAGTAGTGACTACTGACTCATAAAACATGGAGAACCTGCACACTTTTCTACCTAATGAGGTTACAGTTCATAAGCTTTTTTTGCAGCTAATCACTTTAATTAATTTACAATATGCGTGAACGTTGTTGTGTAAGCTGCGGTGCATGTTAACTTTATACAGCCTTGCATTAAAATGAGTTGGAATACTATGTCTCATTACAAGCGTAGTAACCGCGAAGCGCTCCTCAGGGGAAGGGAGAGGCTCTTGCGTTAATTCTCCCCCTCCCCCTCACCTTATTTCATTTACTTCTCGGCGCCAGTTCTCTCGTGATATTTCGAGCATATAATCTATTTGTTGGTTATAAGCGCATTTAAGTTACGTTGTCCTATGGGTAAATAATGGAGTGAAAGAGTTACCATCGTGAATAAAATTTGTGGAAGGACAACCAATCGAGGCGTAAGAAAAGATGCTTATTTGTTATGAGCGCTCAGAGAATAAAAACAATTCTAGGTCCTCGGTTAGGATTCAATCGACCAATCTTCCAATTCCTCGTTTGGTTGCTCGAGTAATTGAGTCCTCGAGAACTCTTAGGTGTGCAAGGTGTGACACGAAGATGACATGTAACAAACGTTATTTTTACTGCTAAAATGAGGACAACATTTTACCCTTCCTGTTGATTGTCCGACTTCCGGTACTCTACGCGCCATGACTTCCGGTAATATTACTAATTACTTCGTCTGGAAGGTGTTGCGAATATAATTTAGCCTATCCCGTTAGATAAACACATTCTACCATCGGAATCTGTTTGTGTGGATTGGACGTGTATGATCTTCCGAAGGTTTCAAGAAAGTTTACTTCATTGAATCAAACCGTATAAAACAACTGCAGAACCACGCAAGGAAAGAAGAAAGCTTGAAACGTATTTATACTAGTGCCTGTAGCGGCGTTGATATGCTTCGGTGAACAACTCACGAATTCTCTACGAATGTCATCTGTAGGAGTGGTGATTGTATTACTTGTGATATTATGCGCACTCTTGGAGTTGTTATTGATGTTGCTTGTTGAGTTGTTTTTCAGCAGCTTTGTCCAGGGGTTGTCAAGGTCACGCACTACATTGCATCGATCCGGAATCTTGGAAGCTCCAGGGTCACGGTTGTTGTCGCAGTAAGGATTGTAATTGTTTTTGATGAAAGTCAAATCAATCAGTTCTCGGTATGATGTTGGTAACTTGGGGCAGGTTGAAGCAAAGAGCTTTCTCACACACTCTGTGGCCTTAGCATGTTCCCTGTTGAAATTCGATGGAACGTTAGGTAACATTGATGCGTTAATCAGTTCGAAGCTGCAACATCCCCGCCGGGGCAAACCTCCGGACATTGGAGATTGGTTCGTTTCAATGCCCTTCCCCCCACCCAAGCACAAAATTTTGTTCAAATGCTCCATATCGACTTACTTGCAAAGATCTGGATCAGTCTTGTCTCTGGCAAAAGTCCCTTGAAAGGACTTTAAACAGTTGTTTAGATTAGTGCTGAACGATTCGGGGCAATGAGCGGCCAAAACTTCCAACGAGTGTGAAGTAGGTAATCCCAATGCCCCCTCATGGCACATGGAAGTTTCTGTGAATTGTACTCGAACACTTTCAAAGTGACGCGCATAATCTGTTCCAAAGCAGATGTTGTATGTCCTTCGTATACAATTGATAGTTTTGTTTACCTTGGCCCTAACAATGGAAATAAAAAGGACGGTACGTAAAATTATAAAGTCAGTCCAGGAGCAGGAAAACAGGTGTCCGTTAAGCGTGAAAATTGACAAATTCAAACCGATGATAGTAAAAGGAAAGTTAACCATAGAAATTTTTTTCTGGTAACCGCAAAGGAACGAATTCGAAAACGTTAGCCGTAAAATGACTAAAACTGTAACCGTAAGCCGTAAAAGCCAGAGGGTCGCCCCAGGGATAAACCCTGGGATAACTCCCGTGGTATAACCTTAGCGGCACTTATCGGATTCATAGCACAAGGCGACAAGGATAATAGTCCTTCACCTCGGGTGACATGCATTTCCAACCGCTCCCCTCTCCATTTATATCCCTGCGTAAAATGTTTTGGCAAAGAAGAAGGAGTCCGCTGCATTATAATGTAGGCAACCCCGTCTTGCTTATTGAAAGAAAGCCGAGTTAAAATTGAAACAGTGGCGGACTTTCTGTAATTTTATACTCCCCCTAAACTACATCGGAAATAAGACGAAAATTAGTGTCGCAATCTCAGCGGCTTATTTTCAGCTCATAACGGGTTAGGGCAACTCAAAAAATTAAACAACAATAACAACAAAAATAACTGGAACAATGGAGATGAGACAGGTTGTAACTTACCCACAGTCTCCCACGGAATCGTTCTGCAGTTCTTTGATGAACATCGTGACGCATTTGCGCATGTCACAGAAGAGTTCCAGAAATCTACAATCGCCAACATATGAATTGGACAGGGTAGCCTCGTTTCCACCCAGGAAAACTAAATCAAATCATACAGGTTAGAAACAAAAACGCGTATTTATCTGACCCCATATTCGATATCATCTGGTATCAGGCGAGCACCTGATTTTACCTCTTACTACTTGAAATTGGTTTATTTTACGTGAAGATATGGTTGAAGAGTGAATTTATCTTTCTAGCACCTCGGAGGTGAATGGTGTATGGTGTATAGACCTGTCGCTACTGTGCTAGGCAACTATTGAGCAACATTTGGCGTTTGGAGCAACTTTTTGCGGTTCTTGCAACCTTGAGCAGTTTTGCCTTTCTGTGCAGTTTTTGAGCAAAATATAAGTTTGGAGTCCATATTAAGCACGAAAAGTCAACGATCTCCTACAAAAACTAAAGTTTATGAGAGTTTCATGAATTTTGATCAACCTTTCAAACACATAGCCTGTGACTGACAACGTTTTGAAGGTCTATTGCAATCGTTGTCTAATATGATAACGGATAATTGGCTAAATATGTTTTGTTCAGTGAAAGTTAGATATCCTTAAAAATTAGCCCATATTTGCGAGCAACTCTAAGTTTCAAGCTATTTTTCTTGACCGATGTTCGCAGTTATTGTGAATAACGAAAAACGGACTTTTAGTTGACGTTCATATGAAAGTATAATGAAATTTAGGTAACAACTTTTGAAATTTAGGTGGCAACTTTTTGGATTTTTACCAATTTTTTTGGAAACTTTTTCGGGCTCCCAGTGAGCAACTTTCCAGCCTTGTAAAAGCACAATCAGGACAGGTCTTATAGTGCAGTACTACTTGCTTATCATATCTGAGCCTGTCAATTAATTAGCGGGAGCTAAAAGCAATATCACCCGTCGTGTTTTACACTTATTACAAGTACTTAGCGAAAACCTTTGATAAGTGAACTATAAGATGAAACCTTTTGGTGACCCAAACCCTGTATGATGTGAACTTTTGAAGTGGCTCCTTTCGACTTGACTTCGTTTAAAGGAAACGAAATCGTTTCATATCATATGACTGAAAGGCATCTGCAATATTTTTATTTTTAGCTTTGCTCTCGAGTCAAATGTGGCAAGTTGAAGTAGCTAGACTTTAGAGAGTACAGAAAATATTTGTAAGTCGTAAAATTACAAATCAAATTTACAAGAAATAGAGGAAACATCTTCACTGCACGTCGGCTTTGGTAAAAAAGGAAAAAACATTGAAACCCGGCATTACAATCCTTGATCTCAATAAGTTTCTAACTTGCGTCAATCACATTTTTATTAATTAATTGCGAGAAATCACAAGCTAATCCTAATGAATATTGCAATGGTACAAAATTGTGTATTTATAGATATTTTCTCAGTAGATCTGATAACTAAACAACCTTTCCTAAGAAAATTTAGAACTGCAATTTTAAATTTAACTAAATGAAAGCTCCTTGTTTATTTGGCATATTTTGCTTCTTTTCCGTTTTAATGTTTAATATTTTGGTTGAACTAGTGCCAGACCGCAGTAGACAGCTGATGAATTATAACAGTGTGAATTTCAAACCACCATACTCCTGTGTAAACCCACAAACCACTTTCTCTTACACTCAGAAAAAAGATTTCTCTTGAACTTTCTCACTTCTTAGCCACTATGGACATTTTCCTCCGCCAAAGCCTTAAAGCCAAACTCGATATTTATCAAATCATTGAGGATTCAAAGCGCACCGTCGATTCCCCTTCGAAATTTACAGTAGGTCTTAAGAAAGTACTAATTAATTTTGCAACTACTTACAAGCAAGAAAAAAAAATGAAGACTAGACATTTAAAGCTATATGAAGAGTTTATCAGTGTAAAATCGTAATTGCATCTCGAAGCGAAGTTGTATATAAATCACTCCTTCTGAAACAATATAACCTTATTTTCATTAAAAATTGGACTCGCGCCAAGTTCATTTACGCGAAAGAAACTTGAAATTTATTTTGAGATTGCTTAAAAAGGCTGGGTGCAGAGCAATCCTCTAAATCTCCATCCGCCAAAATTTAGATTTAAGCTCTTAACTTACGCGCCACAAGACAAAAAGAAGTATTTTTTTTCTTAACAGCAAAAATAGCATTTTAACTCCCACCTAGATCTTGACTTCTTCTCCTATATTTAATATATTTTGTCTGCAGATTAATATAATTATCTTCATAGTTAGCAAGCTTTCAAAATTCTTTCTATTCTCTGAAACCTAGAGACTGAAAAACCTTAACTGTATATACCAAAAGGAGATTTATGGATAATTCATGCAGGTAGTTTTGGATGCATTTCAATGAGCAAATTTTGGCCAAGACTTGATAAATTTCATATTCGTATTTTCACGATTTATGGTATGAAGTCGCAATATTCTATGCTTAGATAAGCAAACAACAGGATGATATAACTCGTCCCTAAAATGAGTTGGCATAAATAAGGAATACCAAAGATTGCTTATAGACAGTGCTTTCTAAAAGAGCCACTGTTTCAGTAGCAAAATGGCTACCTTCCGTTGTGAATTTACAGTTTCGCATAGTCATGCAGAGAAATTGAAAACATAGACATCAAAACTAAAAACAGTATGCCACCATCTGTCAAGAATTACAAACACTTAATTAATCTCGAAATCTTTCCGGCTAACCTGAAGTGAGCCAAGTTAATTAAAGGACTCATTTTCTTACCGAGAAGGAAAACTACGGCGAAGAACGATCGCATCCGAATTGCCACCAGCTCCTCCATAAACGTCGAGCGAAGAGGGAAGAAGAATTGAGGCCTCCTTCAAAGATGAGCCGACACTCCTGGTATCAGTCGTCAGCAAAATCAGGACATACCTACTACTTCCGAACGATTACATTCCGAATTAGTCCGACTTCCAGTGCGACGACATATTACGATTGCATCCCGAAAAAACCCCGGCGGCTAAACCGACCCTTAAGCACGACCACGAGTAAGCAGCGAGATCAAAGCACGCCGATTCACGATACAGTCCTACTAATCGATCAAACTCAAGAAATAATCACGATTGCAGCCCGAAGAAACCCGACGGCGTGCCCGATTCTTAGGCACGACTAACAGTGAGCAGAAAAATCAAAGCAGGCAGAGTCATGGACAAAATTCAAGAATTCATATTGATTGCGGCAGTTTTGTCTTACCGTTTCCTGTGATATGATTGGTCTAGACAAAACCAAAACAAACTGGCGTGGCCGAGAGAGGATTGGAACGATACTTTTCTTGCCAGCTTTCTCGTGGCGGCCATTTCGTAATGCGAAAGGAACGGCAAAACAGAATGAAACATTTCAAAAAAGACATCATTGACTAATTTATTTCTGTATTACAGTATTACAAATCTAATTTTTTGACAGGCATGTCATCATGTTGTTTGCTCGCAGTGGTTTGTTATCAAATTCTATCCGTTTCCGGTGACATGTCTAAAAGACACCTCGCGGAGAGCATCGACCGATGAAATTACATATTTACTTCAATTCCATCTGCAATTTCTTCATGAATGAAAATGTCTCGTATTAGAAGTAGTTCTGCAAGAATTTCAGGGAACACTTCAACCAACTTTAACCACCGGTTGTTTGTTTGCTTGATTTTAAGGGTGCCCTCCGGCTTTTTCACACAAGGGCAGAGTCTTCTGCACGATGAGATGTCCGCAAAAAAATTATCAAATTCTATCCTTTTCCGGTGAGATGTCTGAAAGATAACCTCGTGGAAGGTAGCGACCCATGAAATAACATATTTATTTCAATCTCATCTGTAACTTCAAAATAAATGTTAAAGGAAATGTCTTGTGTTGGAAGGACAGTAGTTCTGCACGAATTCTAGGGAACGCGCTTCGGCAAGCCTTAGCCGCCGGTTACCTTTTTGCTTGATTTGTAGGGCGACCTCTCGCTTTTTTACCCAAGGGAAGTCTTGTTCGCGACGAGTTGTCCACAGAAAAAGATCATTAAGGTCTAACATTTATTTTTGTTTACCTGAGTCTTCCCAGACGTTTCTTCAGACGTTTGCATGCCGAACAGACATATTTGAGATGCCGGAATTTCCTCAGAGTCCGGGTTAATATTAATTTGAATTTAAATACCGAAAGCTCATCTAGAATGAGCTTCTATAAGACCGTCTTACTCGGCATTACTTTATCATAAAGTCGATAGACTGTTCTCAAGAGCTGAAACGATAAACAAAAGGAACTTTAGGAATACTGTGAAAATCGATAGCTGGCAGAAGCAATAATGCCATGACAGCTGAGGCCGGACAACAAGTCACAAAAACATCGACCTTGTACTCAAAATAAACCACGCGCACTCAACTTCTGTTTTAATGAATGTGAAACACAAAGATCGAGCTTTACCATAATGTTTTTATTTTTTCCAAAAAGAAAAAAAATCATTACAAACACTGAATTAATCTCGAAATCTTTCCGGCTAACCTGAAGTGAGCCAAGTTAATTTAAGGACTTATTTTCTTACCGAGAAGGAAAACGAACGATCGCATCCGAATTGCCACGAGCTCCTCCATAAACGTCGAGCGAAGAGGAAAGAAGAATTGATGTCTCCTTCAAAGATGAGCCGACACTTCTGGTATCAGTCGTCACTAAAATCAGGACATACCTACTACTTCCGAACGATTACATTCCGAATAAGTCCGACTTCGTGACAAAATTCCAGTGCGACGACTTATTACGATTGCATCCCGAAAAACCCGACGGCTAACCCGACTTTGAGCACGACCACGAGTAAGCAGTGAGATCAAAGCACGCCGATTCGCGATACAGTCCTACTAATCGATCAAACTCAAGAAATAATCACTATTGCAGCCCGAAGAAACCCGACGGCGTGCCCTACGCGTACTCAAATTCTGTTTTAATTAATGTGAAACACAAAGATCGAGCTTTACCGTAATGTTTTTATTCTTTCCAAAAAAAATAAAAGAAGCATGTTTACCTCAAATTAACACGATATTGATAGCTTGTGTGTTCACAACCGTTCCGAATAAGCAATCACAGCTTGACTTCTCCCACGCATTTCAACCAACGCCATTCAAACTGCTGTCTACGCAAAGCTCTTCCTGTGCTTTATCAAGTGAACTAGGTCTCAAAGGCCATGGATACCGAGACAAAAAAATGCGGAACTAAAATGTGGGGCTAGCCTAAGTTTTTAAAATTGACTGTGACCGTATACGTCATGGTATAGACCAAACTGTTTATTGCCCGGATCGACAAAGACGATTGTCCCTCGCCGAATTTCTATTTAAAGAAACACAGGAACTCATCCCCATTTTATTTTGAATATCCCCGACTGCGACTGAAATAAGATTAGTCAGACCTCGCCCAGACGAAACACAATCTTCGATAAAGACGAACAAACCCACGTACCGACTACGACCACTGTCCGGAAAACAATGATGAGCCGAAAATTCCGGATCTGTGCACTCTTAGGAAATAAACGCCTGGAGTCTGTAGCTACGAGATCGAAGGAATTTTGACAAGCGATCAATACAGATAAATTAAAGCAAAGAAAGCACTCGACAACGTCTCGTGTTTCCCCCTACATTTCTTTCGTGTACCAGCTGCTTGCTGCTGCTTTACAACTGAACAAAGTGTCGAGGCTTCTTTATTTGTTAACGTCACTCATTTGATATTAAAAGGGGGCGATTCACGCTTGAAATTATGGTCAGTTGAAATATATGTTTTTCTTGGCCAAATAGAGACTAATTTTCACTATTTCATATCTTATCTGCACTATAGACAAGAAGATAATGAAGTGAAGACAATGGCGACCACACGCGTGCTCTTGTGCTCCCTATTTTTCTTATAGCGCTGCCTGTTGAACGTCACGTACAATCCCAAACCGAAGCCACATGTACTGGAAAAACTTTTCGTCCCGCCAAATGCTTAAAAAAGAAATTTGCTACGAGGAGACTGGCCTTTTATCCCGTAATTTTTATCTTAATTACTACTCAGTTAAAAAGCTTCCGATGGAACAAAATTCATTCATTCCATATCATATTGATTCCATTAAAAAAAAAAAAACTCGTTCCTAGGAAAGAATTACTCAACCCTTTACACCCTAACATTAATATGCATATTCTCCATACAATTATTCACACATTTCTCATTATATTGAAGAGGAGAATTTGCTTGGAAATCAAGAGCTTTGTCTATTATTTCCTTTATTCTCATGGCTTTAATGAGATAGAGCACTACTCACTAGTGTAAATACTGTTGACAAAAAAAAAAAGAAAAGAAAAAAGGTTGTCATCACTGGTCACTTTTTTTTCTATACTAGAATGAGTTAATATGGGATACACCAGTGATGTTGTAAGGATAAATTGGACTTTAGTCTTTAGTCTTTAAGCCATAAACAACCTCGTTGTTGACATATGCCAGTTGCTCCTTGTCTGATAAAGTGGAATATGCAGTTAAATGCTTTCTCGTTTTGAAGATGAAACGTGCATACAACCATGAATATGTTAAAATTTCACGAAAAAGAATCCCTTTTAATGTCGTTACTTCATATATATTGGGACACGGCGGTCCCAAACATTGGGCATGCACAAGGGAGACCTCCTTTCGCCGGTATCAAAAGAAACATCAAAAAACACTTTCGTGTAGAATATGCACGAAAGAATCTAAACGTCAATAGATCACCGTAAAAGGAGAAAGAGTAGGATAATGAAAACTCGAGACTTTTCGAAGTCAAAGCTTATTTGATCTCAAGTATCCTGCTTATTTACCAATTATCTTTTATTTTTTTACTGGCTTCATCGAAAAAGTATTACGGTTTTAACTCAAAAACTCACTGGCTAATGTGATTGTTTAGAATTGATATGTGACAACTTGGTTCTAACAGCCCGAAAGCACGTCACCAAGAGAGTTTTTATCAAAAAAAAAATTGAAAAAATTGAAAAAAAACTATGAAAATATCGTTTACACAAGCACAGACTGGATCACGGTATCGAGGCTACGGATGAGAGGTAAAAAATCTGGAGATCACCCGAGAGTGTTTCTTTGATTCTCTTAAACCTTAAATACGAACAAAAATGACACAAGAGGAAGAAGCAGAGCCAGCGATGTATTAATCTTTATAACAGCGGCTGCACTGATGTCGTCCTTTATATCCCTCACGCCATGGCACTCATCATTTCCGGTCGCCCCAGGATCCCGATTGCTGGCGCAGAAAGGATTGTAGTCGACCAGATCAAATTTTATCACCTCAAAGATATCAGTAGGAAATTTGCAGTCGGACATAATGGTTTCCATCCAACACCTTTTTTTTCAGCATGTTCCCTGTTGAAATCAGGAAAAGAAAACATAAAATTAAAAAAAATGCTGAAAATTGCACAGAATTTAAATCACTCAACAACAAGAACAAGCAACAATTTTCTTTCCCTCAGACGAAACACGTCGGGGAATTGTATACTCGAAAAATTCGACTAAAAAATTGGTCCACTCGACCGTTGTCAGTCTATCATGATCATGATCAGGATGCACCTTTTCTTTAATGAGGGACCAATCTCTTCTTATCAGGGAGGGGTGGGGTTCGATGGATTTTGGAGGATCACGTGCCTTTTAGGGGAATGGAGGGGAGGGGAGGCTTAAAATTTGACTACCAATTAGGAAGGATCATTAGAATACTACAGAGCATCAGGGGGGAGATCTCGTAAATCTTATTGTGGCACGGCCAAAATCCTCCTAACCCCCCCTCTGCGATAAATATTAATCTGTCTCTCATGTGAAGATGAGACAATTGCATTTCTTATTAACATTAAAATACTCGATACAAAATTATAACTTACTCGCAAAGAGTGGTGTCCGATCTGTTAGCGATAAACTTGTCATGGAAAGTTTTCAAACACGCTTCTGTGTTGTTGACAAACACTCTTGAGCAGTACCCGTTCAGAGTGCTTATATGCCAAGGAACGAGAAATTCACCCAGAAAGGCCTCTTTACACATTTGGTCCTCACTGATGCCTGCACGTAACGAATCATCCAACGTCATGTTGGATAAGTTGCTAGAATACACTCTGCCACAAATCTTGTTCGACGTAATAATGCAAGCTAGGGTTTTGTTGTACTGAACTCTGCAGTAAAAAAGATGGAAACACTTGTTTTAGGCCTAGAATTGCTCAAGCTTTAGCTATTTGGAGTTCACTGATTTGGAATTAGAGTGGACGGTGGGGTTAGGAGGTGGGGGGAAGGCGAAGAGATCTTTGCTCCCCCAGCCCCACCCTTCTCCTTGTTTTGGACTGTCGACCGCCCTCTTGATACAAATTTGTTTCTTTCTCCAGTCTTCCGCTTCCATTAAAATCAAAGATGGCGGCCATACTTTGGTTAAGAAACTACTGAGCACTCGCTCGCCAAAATTACGCCTGTTCTACAAGCTAGCTTACATGAGACATCACCCAAATCTGCAAAAGAATTATGATATTTTCCATAGTGATCTATGACAAAGGTACCCAATGTCAAAGGGGTGTTGTGGAATTTTCACGAGCCATCACACTCAGCTAAGTTTTTTTCCTTTTTTTTCCCTGAGGGAGAAATATTTCAAGATTCTGCTCTGTTTGTCACTGATCCTTCATTGAAAAGAAGCAGAGCTAATACTGCTAAAAGCCGCCAGCCACAAGTTTCTTGGGGTCACGCAATGTCTTATTTGATGCGAGGTAATCCCAAAAACAATAGTTATCTTCACAATTATGCTCTCATCGTTTCCGGTGATTTTTATCAAATTTCAGTTTTTTCTCTCTCAACGAAAACACAATCTGAAAGTTGTATTCTGCCTGTTTGGAGCAAGAAGTAAGAAGAAAAGCTACCTCTCGCGCGTGTTTGAGGCAAAACGAAAACATAGAGCTTCCCAGGGAAGACAACTGTATCAATATCAATGGCCAATAACATTCTCAAAATTCACGCAAAAGATCAGGGTATAAAAGCAAAAGTCAGTTACGAGACAGCAACTGCAGAACTTTAACGCCATCAGGAAATTATTGGGCCCCCGGGCTGAAATTCTCCTTCGGGATTTCAAGCTCGCACCTCTGTAGTGCTCCAGTTAAAGACTGGACGACTTGAAATCGCATTATCAACTCGCGGTAAAAAAAATTTACACCAGAACAATAACCAACACCCGGTAAATTTCTTAGACTTTTTAGTTCCTCCTGAAAAAAAAGCAGGGAAAGCTTTCGTGATTTACCTGGAATCAAACAAACTTACCCACAATCTCCTTCGGTGTCATTTTGAACGTTTTTGATGAATTGTGTTATGCACTTACGCGTATCGCAGAGGTACTCCGTAAGCGTACAATTGGTGAACGTAGGCCAGCGGGTAGCATAGCCAGTGGTGAAGAAAACTGAAACAAAGAAAAACAGCGTCTTGTAGCTCATTCTGGACACGCTGGGCGCCTTTCGACTGAGAGTCGCACAGGGAACTGAGGAGTTACTTGAATTCCCTCTGTATATGTCTAGGTAACTGAATGCAAAATATTACAGCGTGAATCATTGGGTTGATTGACCGCTGACTGAAATGGCAAATTCCTCAAATAACCACGCACCTCCGAATAAGCGCCCGATCCCTGTTTACATGGAGGTGGGGGACCCCAGTTAGGTGAGGTAACCCGCCTAGCCGTGGTCGAAAAATAAAACGTGACGATTTACAACGCTAAATATTCCGAAATGTGAACATTTTACACTCCTTGTGTGTCCGTTCCGGTTATGGTGATTTCTGCCATGCTAGGAAATGAACAAAGTTTTAAGAGCGTGTCCACGAGAGAACCGGGCAGTCGTGCTACATACCATCTCGCTGTTTCCAATGAAACTTTGCCAGTTTAAAGGGTCTACCCCAAAACTCAAAAAGACAAACTAGCTTCTGTTTTGATTTTTTTTCCGGGGGTAGATAGACCACCCCCTACCTCCCCGTTTTTCTTGGTTTTCACCAAGGAAATCGCTTCAAAATAGGTAAAATGTATAAAGCTCTCACCGCGATGGTATTTAACCAATTACTCTAACGGTTTGCACACATATTTTTACATCCTTAGTTAATGTTCGCCGCAAGTATCAGTCAATTTGATTCACGGCTTGTCAGTCAACAGAGGCAAATATACAACTGTGTTTTTAGACTTTTCGATTCATCCAAATATTTGACAACTTTGAGATCAAATATCTCCCGTTACCAGAAAGCTGCAACACTAATCTTAATTACTCTATAACCCATTATTTCATCTCTGAAAATCATCAAAAAAATATTTGGACACTCTCGTATTTTTGTCTTGGATTCCTTTTAAAATCTACGACTGTGACAAGTTTCTCTTTTAACTACACCTGTCACGCAATTCTTGCTCTAGGCGGTCACTTGACTGGATAAATCTACATTTTTTAGCTCTTGATTGATCAAGAAAGGTGAAAAATGTGAAAAAGTTTCGAGATTTTTTGTAGAAATTGAAAATTTCACGTTTAGAGAGATGCATGTAGGCGAAAAATCGAAGAGAAAATCGTAGCGTTTCTTTCTTCAGTCGTTTATTACTTTAGAGATTTGCTAAAATCAGCAGATATGGCTTTTGTACGGCACAAAACATTCATTTGTCTATAATTTGATTGTTTATCATCATCATTGCTCATTTTAGTAGATTTTAAAGTCACATGCTGCGTGTTCTTTGATATTACTACAAGTTCCAGAGTGCTACAACTTCGGCTTTTATAGACAAGAAATTCTGCGCTCTCGCTTGAGAGCAAATTTCAATAGTTCTATCAGACTAAAAACTGTGCTTCTATTCCGAAAATAAAATTAAATAGTGTTGTTGTTGTCACTTACCGCCATTGAACATTTCCATGTAGAACTCCGCTCAGCTAACATCTGTTACGTGACACGAAAACTCTCCGTAGGAATTATTCCAGCGCGTTGTTCATGCTGTCTGCTAGATAACAATTTCAGAATAATCTGCAGATTTCTATGATTATTTGCCTCCTTCGATCGTAAAGTGTTGCCGGCGTTTAATTACGTGACTTATAAAATTTATTAAGAATGAGCCAGCAGTAATTTGACCAGTAGGCTTCCTGCAAATTTCCCTTGATGAAATCCCAAGACATAATCAGTTGTTTTCGTGAGCAAAGACAATAAATATGAAAGAAAAGTGAGATACAAATGTCTTTTTCTTTTTTTAGCTTAATAGCAGCTGTACCCTCTCCTGCAGTCTTCCTCTAAATTTTGCAAGGTCCCTACTTATCCTTTGCCTTGTTCGGTTACTTTCGACTTCTGAGGCTAGATCATTGGCATTGGCCTCTTCGTCCTCGTTCATATTTACTGAGGGGGACCTCGTCAATAAACCAATTTTTGTTACGGCAGATAACCGGCTGAAATATCGAGCGATTTGCTGCTGTATCAACCAGTCAGTCTTAGACAACATTTCTGGCTGGTGTTGTCTCTTAAACTCGATATTACTAGCTTCCTCCCTTGTCGAGCACATGTCTAGGAGATAATTCTTTGCTTTCTGAGAAAAGGTGTCTGTTTTTTGTGTTTTCCAAAGAGCCCATCCAAAGTCCACTTGGCTAGTTAGGGATTGTTCGTCAGAATTTTACCTGAGGTCCGACCTTGAACGTAGCCATCCCTTACAGAATGGCAAGCCGGTCTTCGTTCATTTCCTCTTGATCTTGTCATAGGCGGATTTTTTTTGTCAGCTTCACTGTGTTTGTCTTCGTTAAGGTGCTTTTGGATGGCAGCCAATGACTGAAACGTCTTGATACATCCTCCCTTTTAGCAAGAATATCTCGCTTTTTTGTTCTGTCTGTGACGGGTTGGGTATAGTTCACGCGATAACCACCCGCTTCTACGATTAGTTTGCTGAAGGTTTCTAATGTGATGAGCCCAGTGTGACCCTGAGGTACTCCAAACTGTGCCAGTTGATCTGCGCTATAAACTTGTCACAGTTCTTAAGTCAGAGGGAGGATCGCCCACCTCTATCTATGTGAGCGCCTCTACAGTACCTACGTATCCCTGGCAATCGTATGATATAAAGTTCATCTCAGTCACAAATCACCAGTTAGGAAAACTGATGTTCAGATAAGCGCCCTTATTGCCCTTCCTCATTATTCATTGCCAACTCTAAGATACCAGTTACAGTACGTGTTCTATTAGGTATACAGTCACCTTGCCACTAGGAAGACTCGCCACCAGCTTTGATTTCTTCTGCCATCTCCAGATTCACCTCTCTCTCAACTTTATGTCCCCGAATTTTATGAGGAGGATACTGGCATTTATGAACCTCACACCAAGTTGTGCACAATATTTGAGGTATATTGTGAAATCGCGGCCTTCGTAATCTCCAAATAAGCCAATACGCGCTAGAATAAGCTTCTTCTCGGACGAAACGCATGTTTGGGATACATGGACGTCTCTCAAATGTTTTTTTAAGCTTTGTACTCACGAATTTAGAGGTATGAGCTGTTGCCATCCCTGGCCAGTGCGAGAAAAATAACATTTGGTTCTACAGTTAGTTTCGAATGAACAAGACAACTGCACCATCTTGACTCTATCAATGCGAGTGTTAGGTTGAATTGAGGGCTTTTTAGACACTCGATTTCTTATATGGCATCATTATGAAGACGTAATACAACTGATACACCTACACTACATAGGATTAACAATGTCTGTTGCGCTGTTGCGAGAAGGAGGAAAATATTACCGGAAGTGTAAACTCTTTAAGAGTTTTAGAGACGTTTCAGAGATGCCTATCTTCGGCTGTCACAAAAAATTGACCCCCATTTAAATTTACTAGGAAAAATTAATCTACCGACTCCTTGTTAAAAAAATTGGAATTCATTTGACCGTTCATAAATTGATCAATGAATAAATGTTTTGAAATACCGTTTGTAGTTTGCCTTTCTTTTTCTGCGTGCAAATCAAGGGTAGACAAAGTTTTTAAAACATTTGAAAAGAATTTCATAGGATTCACCTCCATAATTTTCGTCGGCCAGAGTCAAGACGCGCCAAGCTAAGCTACATCGTCCTTCAATAAAATAATTTTCAAAGAATAAATGCGGCGAGCGTGAGGAAACGCACATTTTTTTTTCATTTTTGTGATCAAAGTCCAATGATGTACCTAAATTGGTACTTACGGTATCAAACCCTTGATTATGACAGGATGAGCTTAATTTTTCTGTCGAGGTCGACGTGACTTCACATTAAAAGCGTTTCTGACGGAACAAACCAGTGAGCATCACTGCACGAACTGAAAAGTAAAAACTTGTATTTATCTCGCACGCGTTTTTTTGTCTGACAATAGTAGACTTCATGAAGAATTTTTTCAAGTAGGGTAAATAAGCTTGCTCATATACAATTAGTAAATAGGTTGTCTCTACTATTGAAGCCAGTGAATAGAATTCGCAGGTGCGCCACGTTACATGTACGAGTACGTGATCTGTTTGAGAGCCACAGATTTAGTGTAAATATTTAACCCCTCAACATCACGCAATGTCTCTAGTTTCCAGAGGCCTTAGAACGTTTCATTATATGGATCTGTCTTCTGTGGGTAGACATCTCAATTGATGTTGCCGCAAACACGAAACAAAAAAACTTATCAGGACCTAGTTTCATGTAAATAGCAAATAAAAACACATTCTCTTGAGAAAAAAGTTATAAATAACAGAGATTCTCTGAATCAAGTAGTGATAGAAAAGGGTTTCAGTTTTGGTCAATATTGACTTTTCATAGCCTACTTCCAAATTTGAGGAGTTTTTATAGAAAAAAAAACTTTAAAAATATCGTTTGCACAAGCACAGACTTTACACCAGTAGATCACGGTATCAAGGCCACGGATGAAGAGTTGTGGGTAAACCTAAATGCAAGACAAGATAGTCATAAAATTCTGGAGATCGTCCGAGAGTGTTTCTTTGATTCTCTTAAACCTTAAGTACGAACAAAAATGACCCAAGAGGAAGAAGCAGAACCAGCGATGTATTAATCTTTATAACAGCGGCTGCACTGATGTTGTCCTTTATATCCCTCACGCCATGGCACTCATCATTTCCGGTCGCCCCAGGATCCCGATTGTTAGCGCAGAAAGGATTTTAGTCCACCAAATCAAATTTTATCACCTCAAAGATATCAGTAGGAAATTTGCAGTCGGACATAATGGTTTCCATCCAACACCTTTTTGCTTCAGCATGTTCCCTGTTGAAATCAGGAAAAGAAAACATAAAATTAAAAAAATGCTGAAAATTGCACAGAATTTAAATCACTTAACAAGAAGAACAAGCAACAATTTTCTTTCCCTCAGAAGAAACACGTCAGGGGAATTGTACACGCGAAAAATTTCACTAAAGAATTGATCCACTCTCAACCGTTGTCAGTCTATCATGATCATGATCAGGACGCACATTTTCTTTAATGAGGA